CAAACACTGGCCTCGATCCACTTGCGCTGGGCACGATAATGTGTCGGAAAACACAGAAAAAGATACAATACAGACAGCTACTGCGCCAGAGTGCCGCCGGAGCGTAGCATTCAGCCCATAGAAGGCCTCTCTTCGGGGGTAACGATCTCTTGCGTGCGCCGTCGATGGACGGTTCAGGGGACCGGTGCCCACCGGGACGAAACACCGCTCTGGCCGGACATGTGAAGAAAACGACCAGGTACCGCGATAAGGAACCAGGGACGCCTCCACTTGAGCAAGAGTCTCACGCCCTCTTTCTTACCGTCTACATCCCGACTTTCACACACATCTACACATCCTTCGCTTCCCGTTGACGGCTCGGCTGTCCCACCCGTCGAAATTGAAATAGAAGTCAAAAAAGAGGGTCCCGCGCATCCCGTTGTTCCCCCTAATTGCCTCTTCAGGTAGCCTCCCGGTCGCTGATGGCTTGGGTTGGGCTGTCTCGCAGGCCCTGTGGTCGCTTGGCCGAGCCGCTGGTTCCAGTCTTCCTAGTTGCGTTGTGGTGGATAGCAGCAGCCCTCTTCGGCTTTGTTGATGAGGACTAGAACAAAGCTGGGTTCACTTTGTCTCGCTGCAGTCTGTCGTCACAGGTCTTGGTCTGATGTCCCTCCCTCGTCCACTGATCGACGCCTGGAATCTCCAAAAACCCGTGCCGTTCGAGCCTATTTCAATGAATTGTCATCAACTCTTCGACCACATCGCGGATGACTGAGTAAGATGGTCGATGCTGACAAGTCGCCATAACACACACAGACGGCCGCCACACAACGTGGTCTGGCTGTCTTGGCCCTTGGGCCGTCCATCCGTCCTTCCGTTAAGCCACCCGCCATCAGATCTTCGGTTTGCGCATGTGTGTGTGTGTGTGTGTGTGTGTACGTGCGACCGCAAATCATATCTGACCCTTTAAAAACAGAAGGTGGTGGCTTTCCTATGCACTCGGTGTGAGAGGCTAGACTAGAATACCACCACACGATGCCGGGAGCACCGCCAGCCAGTTGACCAACAACACAGCAGCGGATTTGGGACGAAAAAGCTCACTGCCGCTCTGTGTTGGACCTGCAGACGCTACATCGAGAATGCTAAACGTACAAAATCCCATCACCGCCCGTTTCTATTCTCGTGAACTCTTGGCTTTTTGGTCTCTTATCCAAAGAACGTGCCCACAGTCCTATCGCGAACGAAGCCTCAATCATGATGCAACCGTCCCCTCTGTTTGAACCCATCTCTCCCCGCCTCGAACAACTTGGCGTTCTGTGTCTCCTACTGGATACTCCCCCACCAAACTAATTGCGCGGCGTTTCCGCGTTTCTACTAAGCCTCCCATCACGACCCAATCAAAGAGGTTCCTCTTCAGGAAAGCCAAGATGATGCATCACAGCTTTCCATGTTGTTTAGCTCAACACTAGCCTGAGAAACCACAAGTTCAAAACGCCCAGCCGGGAGAGGCCAAAAGGGAGACACAAGAAAGTGAGCTATGCTACGCTACAGCAACATGTCGATTTGCATCGCTTGCTGACTTGGCTTTCAATAGGGCGCCGGTGAGAGCAATCCGCATCATCCCGGACCCGGTGGGAACTCTGCTCTACGGGCGAGTCTTGGCCAGATTGGGTGACATGATCTACCGCCGAGGGAAAATCCCCATCAAAAATCTGCGGCCTACCGGACGGGATACCGCCTCTCGCAAGATGAGATCCGGCTCCTGGCATCTGCGCCGCAATCGCCAAGCGTCCCTCGAAACGCGCGAGCAGCATGACAAAAGCCCGTCGACGATAAGCGTCTTGCTGCTATGGGTCCAGTCCGTCCGGCTGCATCCACTGCCGTGCAATGCACCGCCGCCGGCCATCACCCACGACGATTGTCCGTCCGTCTGCATCTACACCGGTGATAGGCAAACCAGCACACATCACATATACATCACACAGCTATTACCTGCCTGTCGCGGCCGTGGACACCACCTCTTGGCGAGACCCTCTCTTTCGTTCCCATCTAGTGAGGGAAGGTTTCTCTTTGGAAATGAGTGCGCACACGTGTGAGCGCATACAACCAGAGTATTGAACTATCGACTAGGCCCAAGAGCCAAAGAGCACCGCCCCCTGTTGATCGTGATGGCGATGGGCATTATCGCCAAGACATCGCCATGTCCACCGCCACGACCTCATTTGACGACAACGTGGGCGGTTGGCTGGTCGATTCGTCAAACCTGCCTTGTCGTCCTCCCCTACAGGCTACATCTCCCCCGGCGATGTCTTTCTTGATTCATCACCGCCCACCCCTAAACGCTGTGACGCCTGCTGTGTCTACACCGTGGCATCCTCGGTGGAGAAACCTCTGGTACGGGATAGTGGTATTGCTATGGACCAGCGCAAGACATGCACAGTTGCAGATCAGCCGTCCAAGTGACATTTGCCCAGAAATCGATTTTCCCTACCTTCCCTTTTCCCATTCCCGTTCATCGTCACTCGTTTTCGTGAGAGAGATAGCTAGAAAGTCTTGGCCGTAGGGCGTCCCGCGGGATACCGGGACAAGACGCTAAGTGATCGTGTTTGACGCCTTCTCCTCCGACTTACTCGTACAATGCCTTTGTTCAACGCATGGAGCCTCCAAAGCATCGACATCGACGTTCCCGGCAGGCTAACTGCGTTGAGCGTTTGGTTGAGGAAAAAAAGAGGGTATCCGCTACATCAAAAACATGCAGTGCTCGAGACAGCGAACGTTGGACCGAAAGACAGCCCGAAAACCTCCGACACGGCCACAAACCGGGTTGTCGCTACCTGTCGCGACACCTTGTCAATGGGACTGGGAAGAAAAGCACATGTCGCAATCCACACAACCTTGATGCCCGACACAAGCCCATGAGTCAACATCAGCGTAAATCCATGGATTTCCCAACGGCGCACGCACCAAAAGGCACCGGGGCGCTGGTCCGGCTGGCACCTCCGTCGTCCCAAGAACAGCGGCCCGCTGTCTTCGGAGCGCCGGGGCCTCAGATAAATCACGAACAGGACGAAAAGACTTTTGGGTTTGGTTGGGTTGGGTTCATCGTAGCCGCCCCTGAGTAACGCAAAATTTTCCCATCTTCTAGGCTTAATCTGGTCTCTTCTTTTGCGAACAATCTATCGCGACATGGGAATCTATCATGATGCAACCGCTGAGAGCCTCAATGTGTCCAATCGACGGGAGGCCTGCAGTGTAACCAATTTCGGCAGGCCCGGTACCTGGCAAGCCAAGAGTGTTAGATGCACACCGATAAGAACTTGGCAAGTGCTTGTCTCTGGCGAATGCACCGCAGCCATTTGGAAGATGCCCAACGACCCATGGAATCACGGTCTTGTAATATCAAAAAGCTTGATGTAAAAAATTTTCTTCACGAGGATATCGTGTTCGTAACTGTCATTCCTGCAGCCATGGAGTTGTGATATTGGGTGTTCGGTGCTTGAGCCTCACCGCCAAAAAAATGCGCTTGATGCAGCATTGACTCAGTCAAAAACAGCGACATGTGAAAATCCATAACCACAAAATCTGCCCGGCCACATCACCGCCCGTTCTATTTTCCCCGACCGCGGACTCGACTCGTCTCAGAAGACAGTCCGGGGAACTACAGCCTCCGGACCCATTGGACAGAGTGCAAACGCCCGGCGCTAGGTAGTTCATCACAAACCGGCCGGGACCCCACGATAGAGACTGGAACACACCAAAACACCGTCACAAAAAGGAAGGAGACAGCAAAAAGGAGCCAAACTACACCAAAGAATGAAATTTTTCTTCGCGATAAGCTAGAATAGAAACAAAACCGCAACGGTGGGAACAACAGCGACCCCCACCGTCCGCGCCCCGACAATCCGAAACGGCAGACCCCGGGCCGGCCTGTCTCAAGGAGTTGACAACTCAGATCCGCGGTCCCCACTATCCAGCAACCTGTCTGCAGAGGTTGCAGACGTTTCAAACTTATTATTGGCTCAGTACGCAGCGAGAGAGGCCTACCGTTCCTTTTGGTTCGTGTACATGTAAGCAGCGTTGCTTTTTGGTGGTATCCAATGATGTGTCGTAGTTTCGATGTCCAGTTGTGACTTTGTAAGTCGCAGCTATTTCAAGATATCTAGATAACAGTGGACGGAGGTTGAAGAACACCGGTGTGTCTTTTTTATTCTGGCTGTGAACATCACGAAAATTTCTTGGGTGCTAGAGAATACCTCTATAGATTATAGTTCACTTCGCTATCAACTATCCAGGAGAAATATTGTATAAGCTTCTCTGATTTGGTCGCGATTAGAGTGAACTGTACACGCCTTAAGGCCTAGACGGACTTGGCGATCCATTTGATCAGCTGCTCCGAATATATTGGTCTCGAGGGTAAAGTCTGGTAGCGATGAAGCTTTTGTACAATACAGTATTAAACCTACCCCTGAATCACTCTGCCCATCTTTTTTAGGCTCTCGATCTCGTTGTGGCTCCGATTGTACGCCTCACATTTTTCGTCCCCTTTGTTGAACCTCTTGGCATTCGACGGCCTAGCCGCCTGTCAGTAGCATCCGCACTGGCTGATACACCAACGCCTCTTTCTTTAGAACCATCTGTAAGAGGAGTGTGATAGATTTCTTCTGACACCTGACCCCCTAGTCCGGGGGGCTGAAGAGGTCTTGAACAAGCCGTTGAGACTGGAGAATAAGCAATAGTACCGACGATCTCTACAGCTCAGCACTCAGGGACAGCGTTCACGCTGCGCAATCAAGCCTCTCTGGGCTCTCGGCCTGCGTCACGATCCGGTGCGTTCCGAAGGCTGAGTATCTTTCCGTGCGCTGACACTAGTGCCTTACCCGGCGTCGCTTATCCACATCACAGTATCACAGAGCAAAGATAAAGGGGCCCAAGCAACGATTTCCATTCTGTGATATACCATACATACTATACAACCTAACTAATAAACCTCACACCGCTCATACACAGCGGCCCGCCTGGACATATTACCACAATTCACAAGTGGGCTTCTTGCTCTTGCACTGGAAGCTGTCCCTGAACTCGCGGCTGTTGGCCATGGTGCCAAGAATACGGGCCCACTTGGGCGCGTGAGGGTCGGTGTAAATGCGGTTGATGGCTGTGTCCTTGCGGGACTTTCCGCACCACCAGTTGGAGTAGGTGACGAAGAAGAGCTGGTCTTGAGTGAAGTGCTCGAGACCAGGCAGGTTCTTGTTGGGCTTCTCGTGCGCACGGCGCTTCCAGGCCTGGAAAGAGGCGGAGAGGCCGCCGGCGTCGGCAATGTTTTCACCAAGGGTAAGACGTCCGTTGACGTGGAGGGGCTCGTCGTCGGGGCCCGGGACGGTGAAGTTGGAGTACTGCTCGATGAAGCACTCGGCACGCTCCTGGAAGGCCTTGACAGTGTCGTCGGTCCACCAGTCAGTGTAGTTGCCATTCTGGTCGTAGTGACGGCCAGTGGAGTCGAAGGCATGAGAAAGCTCGTGACCAGCGACAGAGCCAAAGGCGCCGTAGGACATATAGGCGGGGACCTCGACGTCGAAGACGGGGAACTGCATGATGCCGGCGGGGAATACAATCTCGTTACCCGGAGGGTTGTAGTAGGCATTGACGGTCGGAACTGTCATGCCCCACGACTCCCTGTCGACGGGCTTGCCGAGGGCAGACCACTCGTCGCTTACGGCAAAGCTGCGAACCTCCAGAGCGTTCTGGAAGAAAGTGTCCGGGTTGAGGTTGACTGATTCGTAGAACTTGTTCAGGCTGGGAGGGTCCATGATATCGGGGCTCTTGGTCGGGTAGCCAATCTTCTGGATGATGTTATGCACCTTATTGATAGCCTTCTTGGTGGTCTCCTTGTCCATCCACTTGGTAGCCTTGAGCTTCTTGGCGAACTCGGTCTTGATGTCGGTGATGATGGTGTCACCAAACTTCTTAGCCTTCTCGGAGAATGCCTTCTCAACGAAGAAGCGGCTGAGAATCCAGCCGACGCCATCATCGACCTGGCCAACGCAGGTGCGCCATCTCTCAGGGGCAGACTCGGGGTCCTTTCCGGCAAGCTCATTGACAAAGCGACGGTAAGGCTTGACTGCGTCGGCGTCCACGTAGCGGGAGAGGGACTGGACAGCCTTCCAGACGAAGTAGTTCTGGATAACCTCCTTGTCGGTCTCGGCGAGAATGGTGGCGAGCTCGGTCATGTACTTGGGTGCCATCACAATGACACGCTCCACCACGAAGCCCTCGGGAGCCAGGCCAGCGATGAGAGCCGTGAGTTCGATCTCGGGCGTGAGGGCAGCAGCCTCGTCAATCAGCATGGGGTTGTAGTATTTCTATTAAAGTTAGCAAACATATTCTTTCTATGAGACGTGGAATACTTGCCGTGACATCTTCCCTCTCTTCGGTGCTTGGCGAGGCAGCAGCCAGCAACTTCTCGAGATCAATGACCTTGGCGAAGTTGTCCTTGTTATTGTCGGGGTACAGGTTTCCGAGAACCTCGACGGCAACGCTGCGGTACTTCTCGACAAGCTTGTCGTCCTCGTAGCGCTCCTTGGACGGAAGACCAAGGCTGCCTGGCGCCGCGATGGAAACCACAACCGTGTCGGGATCTCTGTCATCAGCACCAGTGCCACTTGCAATGAAGGCATCAACGCCGTATTTGGCGAGGAGCAAGATAGCGTCCTTCGTCGGCTTAGGTTCGTCGTCCTTGGCGTTCGCGAGAGGGTAGGCCTGCTTGATCTGGTCCAGGATCTGGGTCAGAGGCTCCAGCCCGACTTCTTTGATCTTGTCCTCGTTGATGCAGGCGTCGTAGACGGCCTTCATCTTATCGAAGTTCTCCTCGTCGGCATCCTTGTCGCTGGAAAACAACCGCATCGGAGAGAAGGAGGAGTGCTATTCACATTGTTAACATCGCCGCCCTGCTTGAACTGGTTTTCTCCCTTACCTTGGAGTCCTTGGGGTACGGCGCCTCAAGGATGTGGCGGAGGAGAAGCTCCGAGTTCTCCGACATGATGGTGCCGGTGAAGGCATCGCCCTGATCGGAGCGGAGGTCGTGGCGGTCGCGCCATCCGCCGCAAACGAGCTCTTCAAAGTCGTTGCACGGGTCGAGCTCCTTGTAGTCGGGAGACAGGTTGTATAAGATCTCGGACGCTGCGTGGACACAGGCAGGTGTCATGCACATCTTGTCCGCCTTGTCGGCGGCGAAGTGCTGCTGAGCTACGGAAGTTCTGTCAGCACGCCATGTCACTCAACGCCGTGGAACATACCCACCATGCGGCACGCCATAGTACAGAAGACCGGCAACGGCGCCGAGAACGAGGACCTTCACGGCGCGTTTGCCGGCTGAGCAGCGTCCGGCATACGGGCAGCGCTGCTTCGGCCTCACGGGCTCGTGGGAGACGAGAGGCGCCTTCTCCGACATGATGGCGCTATCGGGAGACGGGACCTTTGTTTGATTGTAGATAAGCTAGTAGAGCGATAAGACGATGGACGAACCCAGCCAGCTGAGCATCGAGATATGATGGAGGAGGGAGATTGGTTCGATGGGGCTGGCTCGCATGCGGGTGGATGGAGGAAGGGAGAAATGGGAGTGGGCCGATGCAGCTGACGGAGCTCGGAGCTTGGAGCTTTGCTTTGGGGGAGCTTGCTTGAGCTCGGAAAGCTGGGGGAGAGGACCCAAGACTGTGACCCTGCGGAGGCGATGACGCTTTGATGCGGAGAAGCAGCTGCCTGCTTGTGCTGTGCAGTGCAGCGTTGGACCTGCGGGTTGGCGGGGGACTTTCGTATCCGAGACTTTGTGTCATGCACAATTTGTGCCATGATGCTTGTACTGCGACTTGCACAACTTCATAGCTCTGACGGGCCTGTGCACCGGGGAAATCCCGCCCAAGTGCCGCTGCTCCGCCGAACCTTCGTCTTGGGCTCGAGTCTGGTCCGAGTTGTTTGACGTTGGAAGACATTGAAGTCAAATTTGTGAAGGAATAGCTTGCTGAAAATACCCAGAAACTGACTACTAAGATCGAAGGGTTCAAGTAAATAGGCTTTGGAAAAGGCTCCGTAAAATGAACATGGTATCTAGCAACGGAACAGGAAAATAATGACTCTCTAAAATCGTTACCACAAATTGTTCTCATACACATCAATGAAAGTCACATGTTTCTGATGCTTAGGTTTAACCTGTTCCTGCAGTAGCATTTTTCGTGCGTGAGTGAAGGTGTCTGGTTCGCAACTTTGAGCAGAGAAGATACTCGTAATTGTCTCTATGTAGGCTCACAGCCTCACTCGGATACTAATTTGACATAGGTAGTACGAAGCGGCGAAATTACAACCCGTTGGTTGGCTCTGATATGGGCATGTTAGAGTTTCCAAGATTGAAAAACTCAGTCAACGCTCCAGCATCTCTAGGCCTTTCTCAGGCCGGGTATTTCCATTGTGATCTATGACATTGTCTGAACGTCCGCGATCTCGGAGTCAGTTTGAAAGCCGATATTCCGCACATCTGCAGCTCCGATAACGGCACAATCATCGTGTTTTCTTCTGAGTCTAAATCAGGTGAATATCTGGTAAGTTGTTCTATGTTGATGACGGACAAATGTCGCTCTGGTGCGTGAAGACGTACGCCAAGCTTTACCCCACGCTGGACATGATCACAACCGGAATACCCCTCACCTACGACCAATCCTTCGACGATATCATCTGCAGTTAGTACAACAGAGACTGGGACGATTCTCCGCTCTTTCTCGTTACATTACATGAACGCTATACAAGATAGGAAGCTGGAAGCACGTCACGCAAGCGTGATAAGCCGGAAAAGCTGTCATCTTTTGAATCCTGCCCGGAAAGCCCATGGCCTAACGCTCAACAACCTTCGGTTGAGTTCTGCCCGGATTTTGATCATGGTAAAGGCCCATTAAAGGCCAAGATGAGGGGTTCATGGTTGCAATTGAGGCTAGCAAGCAATCTACATATAAAATCTCCGGGATAGTGACACACTTCTTGAAGTTCCGACATTGTGGAACCACCAGCCTCTTCAATTGAATGGAACCATAGCCTCTTCATGATGCGAAGAACTTTCTTGGCAGCTGGTGCCGTGTTGACTGGTGTTTATGCTTGCCAGCGTGATTGGGCGGCCCTCCACAAGCGCATCAACGATCACAAGCACCACGACCATGGACACAAGAAGCGGGATCTAGCAGTCGAGTACCCGCCATCGCTGACTGAACATGAAAGTATTCTGGTGAACTCCTTCGACAGTAAAGCTCTGGATGACTGGTCTTACTATTACACTCATGGAGACCATCTCGGAGGTCACAACCGCACGATGGCTGAGTGGACGCAGGAGCAGTGGACGAATGCTGGATGGGATGCTCACATCGAGGAGTATTGGATCTGGTACACGGCGCCTCTCGAAACGACGTTGAAGTTGAATAGACCAGACGGCAGTGTTCATGAGGTTAGCTTGATCGAGGACATGCTTGAAGAAGACTCAACCACGAGCTATCCCAACCGCATTCCAGCTTACCATGCGATGAGTGGCAGTGGCAATATCAGTGCGGAATATGTCTATGTGGGGTATGTTCTTACTTGGTCTTGCACTTTTCACAGAATGGTACTAATCGGAGTTTTAGTCGCGGCCAGCGAGCCGACTTCGAAGCCCTCAAGGATCAGGGTATCGAGCTGGAGGGGAAGATTGCCCTCTCAATGTATGGCGCAATTTACAGAGGCACCAAAGTCAAAAATGCACAGGACAATGGCATGATTGGCGCTGTTTTGTTCACGGACCCCCTCGACGACGGCGAGATCACCGTCGCAAATGGTTACGCGGCCTATCCTGGTAAGTCAGTTTCCTTGACAGGAGCTTATGATCAGAGCTAACTAACACGCCAAGATGGGCCTGCCCGCAACCCGTCAATGATCCAAAGAGGCAGCGTTCGATTCTCGTCACTTTATTCGGGTGATCCCTCGACTGTCGGCTACGCCTCAGAGAAAGATGGCCCACGAAACGATGTCACTCCGTACAACCCATCCATCCCCTCAGTACCCATCAGCATGAAAGACGCTGCCCCCCTTCTTGCAGCTCTCGATGGAAATGGTCTGTCTGCCGAACAGGTCAACCGCAGCAGCTGGGTTGGTGCTTTGCCAGACATCACTTACAGCAGTGGGCCAACGACTGGCGCGACTTTGGACATGGTTCACTTCATGAACCAGACAGTTGCACCTACCTGGGATGTAATTGGTGTCATTAACGGAACCAAAGAAGACGAGGTCCTGATCATCGGCAACCATCGAGACGCGTGGGTCATTGGAGGCGCGGCCGACCCGAACTCGGGATCGGCTGTTCTGATTGAGCTCGCGAAGGCTTTTGGGAAACTCGTTGATAACGGGTGGAAGCCTCGACGGACGATGTGAGTGGTCTCAAAGTCTAACCTAGATCGCATGGTGTACTGACTAGTGTGTCTTCAAGAATCCTTGGATCTTGGGACGCCGAAGAGTTTGGTCTTCAGGGCTCGACTGAATGGGTTGAGACTCATTTGCCCTGGCTCGTCACCAACGCTGTGGCTTATCTGAACCTGGACGTTGCGGTATCTGGCCCACGTACAGCTTTATCTGGGTCTGGGGAGATTCAAACTTTGGCAATTGACATGATGAAGAAGGTTCTGTTCCCTGAGGATTGGGATGTTGGCCCGACGTTGTACGACATGTGGTTCAACACCACCGAAGGCGAGATTCCTCCTCTTGGTAGCGGAAGTGATTACGCAGCTTTCTATCACAACGGAATCAGCGCAGTAAGTCTCCTTACCATGCGATGATTAAATCGGTTGCTAAGCGATATTTCAGATAGACATTGGCTCAGATGGAGGCAAAACTGATCCAGTGTACCACTACCATGGGTATGCAATAATGAGATCCTTATTCTTCGTTCATTAGGCAGCTAACACATACAGGCACTACGACTCCTATGCCTGGATGGCCAAATTTGGAGATCCCGGCTTCAAAATCCACCGGGTCATGGGACAATGGCTCACTCTCATTGCTTACCACATTGCCGACGATGTGATTATCCCTTGGGATCTTCCAAACGCAGGGAGAGTCCTCCGCACCTACTACGAAGACCTCAACGAGACCATCGCTGAGACCTACCCCGACCTAGACCTGGACCTGTCTCCTATCGACGATGCGATCGTGGAGTTTGAGACAGCAGCGGAGCGGATCGCTACGGTCGCCAAGCAAGCACTGGCCTTCAATGACACCGTACTCATCGACGTGGTCAACAGCAAGTACCGCGACTTCTCCCGCGGGTTCGCAAGCGCGGGGGGACTGCCCGGGCGTCCGACATTCCACAACGTGGTCAGCGCGCCGGGCCTGGACAATGGCTATGGTGCTGACGTTTTCCCTGCCGTTCAAGACAGTCTCAGTTCCGACAACGAAGAGCAGGCACATGAGTGGGTTGAGAAGAGTGCATCGGCAGTGTCCCGCGCAGCAGAGATCTTGCATATCTAGGAAGCTAAGGCATTGATTAAAACATAGGGGATGTTATTATTACAGAGATTGAGAACAACAGTTGCTTCGAACAGGCACGCTAATGGCAATCTAATCAATCTTGCGTTATAAAGGGGGTATTTATGTCAGTCACTTTTGCACACCTCTCATACTCCTGCGTTGCCTTATTCCCAGGGATCACTGAGTTTGCCGCTTCCTTTCTGTGAATCGCTGTAAAACGACGTACCTCGCTCGCTGGGCGAAATATCCATCAAGCTATCGCTGGTGGTCAGGCGTTTAAGTGGTACTCTGTCCGGCGTCAGGGTTGCCAGCGAGTCTTTCTTCGACGCGTTTGACGGGGAAGACATAGTCGAGCTCTCGGGTACGTCGTCTGTCGCAATGGTGGCGATGTCTTGAGAAACAATCTTGACGTTCCCGGAGGCTCTCGTGGACTGTCGGGTGGTGCTGACTTTGGTGACGTAAAGAAGTTCGGGAAATAGGCGCCGGGCAAGGGATCGAGCAGCGGGCATGCATGCCACGATCAGGCCAACGCAAAGCTCAGTGTGAGACCACATCGCAAGACCGTAGAAGTCATCTAAAACTCTGGTCAGTAAGAGAAGGAAGCAGTGAGAACAAATGCAACCTACACGTTGGGTTCCAGGAGTGGCTGAAGGTCGCGACGCTCTTCAGCCGAATAGCGCTGACGAACGTGATGAAGATTCCAACACCGAACATCGACATGATTCCTGCCTTCTGCCTCTTCTGAAGGTTGAGCCTGTAGATTTGAGTCGCTGGAAGCACGAGCATCCACACGTCAATCGCGATATTCAGAGCAGCATGCGATAGCGCCATGGCTGATAGGTCGATGCAGTATCCGGGATGCCTGCCGTCCCACCCATACCAGAAGTAGCTCAGAGGCTTGCATTGGTTCAGATTAACAATGACGAAGGTGATGCAGACCGCGACGTTGAAAATCTGAGTGCCCCATAAGATCTGACGGAACGTTTCGGTGATCGATCCGAAAATGCGAAGATAAAGAAACAGGATCGATGCCTTGATCGAGGCGAGGGTAACCGAGTAGACAATCTCGAATGCAAAAAAGCCCTGTGTTCTCGTCAGTACTAGTGATGACAAACACGAAAATAAGTGCAACCTTACCCGAATGAATGTTGTAATTTGATCCACGGTCAGAGTCCAAATATCTCGACCAATGCCCGCTTGCTTTGCAAGAGTCGTTGCAACCAAGAACGCAACCATCATAAGCTGCGAGCCCAGTCGTCAGTCAAACCAGTCGTACCGAAAATCAACTTTCATGACTTACATATGCGAATGATATTGTCCAGTCATCCCATCCCCAGGTCCCCATCCGCAACCACTTCGTCAACAGTCTCATTGCAAAGAATATTGTGACGGTCCCGAATAGGAAGGCCGGAACCCATGTTGCAGTGGCTCCCTCGTCGTGGTAGGTGAAGTTGCAATCTGCCCAGGTCTGGTTTTTCGTGACTAATTCCCCCGTTAGTTTCTCCTTCCGTGACACGGATTCTGAACGGCAGCCTACTGAGCGCCTGCTGTACACTGCATTGAATCCTAACACAGTGAATGACAGCCATGTTGTAATTTATGTCTCCGCAGAGACATGTCGAATTCGTGAATTCGCATGGTGTATAATCGAGGGGTTCGAATACGCAGGGCAACTGTGACGTGATGTTAACAGAGAACCCCTCACAAACCTCATTTTCACCCATGAACCCCAGAGAAAAGACCTACAGCGCAGTCGGGAACGTTATCGTAAAGGCCATACACGAGTGGTAGGCAAGCGAGAACGGACAGGGCCCAAAGCGAGGCCTTCATTGCAGCGATAATAGAGGCGTGTCGTGCGGTGATGTCGATCAGAGCATGACGAACGGGCAGGGCGCTGTGGCTCGAGGGTGCTCTGGCAGACACCAAATTTGCTGTTAGATCGCGGGGCAAGAAAAGAGAAGACGAAGGCACATTTCAGACAAGGGCGGGATGGGGTATGTAGACCACATATGTGGATAGCAGACAAGGTCCGGATCAGCCGTGGCGTACGGGGCGACGTCGTGTAAGCCACGGGAGCGATGGCGAGGTGGCTGACCGGGTGCGGAAGACCCGGCCCAGACCACTGGGGCTGTCAAAGTCATTCAAGTTCAAGCTACCATCCATGACAAGCCTAGTGTGAGCAATGCCAGCTGGGAAGCCCGGACGTGCATATGGGATTTCTTGACTACAGAAGAAAGGACGTAGGCCCACGTTATCCGCGAGCACCAGGAGACTGGTTACGCGACCGAGACTCTGGAACATCTTTTGGGCATCAGGGACGGGTCTCAGATGACAGCGGTCACGACACCAGCATATTGATCAGAGAGGGTGTGTTCGGCGATGAGCCCTCTCGGCGAGCCTCACTCCGACCCGCCGAAGCATGTTTGCGCCCTTGAATTGGCTGGAAGTCTTGATTCCAGGTGGTGAAATCCAAATGCCGGACAGGGATTGGTCGGGAGTTCTGCTTTGAAGCTACGAGCCTCTTTCGACAGTCGGCAGTTTCCATACAATCTGGGCAGGACCTCCGAGTTAGACGGCTGGCTCGACACCGTATGGGAGTACCGAACAACATGTTTTAACTGTATGCGTCACCGGAACACAGCGTGCCTCTTTTACCGTAAGCCCCCTTCAAGGCCGCTTGAGGCGCCGGGGACACAGCCAGGGCTTAGTCGCGGGGCTAGCTTCGATGGGGGCTTTGGTGGCGTACGTATTTGATCTAAGCGTGGAGAGATGACCTTGGGTGTTCCTGAAAGGAATGCGTTGGGGTCGGCAGCATTTTTCGTTTTAAGACATGGTTTCACTTACCTTTGGGAACTCAGCCATTGACAATCGTGATGTTCGGGAGTTTCCCTTTGCTTTGCGAACTTCGCGAGGACGGCGGTGCACCTTGGCGAAGACGGCGTCGAAATAGGAGTCGAGCTCCCGTTGATAACCAAGATGCTGGGACACCAGGCACGCCTTAGATGATTATCGATCACAATGGCATCGGTCAAGTGCGTAAATCGCGAAATGCGAAGGGCTTAGATCTCGACAGGATCCGAATCATTTCACAGACACGGCGTGTTTCGAAAAACGTCTTGTTTACCAGACTCGAGCATTTTGGACCCTGACAATCGTGAGAGGTACCATGTTGTTTCAACGCCGGAGCAACACGATGCATCCGACTCTGTGGTGCTGCCAGGCCCCTATCATTACGTTGCCAAGTGCTTTCGGCTGCCAGTATGATGCCATTCCACCGGAATTGGAAGCAATCTCTGCAGAGACACGCCAATCTTCGACGAAACAGTAGCAACTGGTGGCAGTGTCTCGAACTGCTCACCGGCTATTTTCAACGAACACGGCTGATTCCAGTCACTGCCTCGCACGAAAACGTGAGAGGTCTCTTGGCGGATTGCCCGAGCAGTAACAAATCCTCGGCAATCCCTCATTGACGATTCTTTGGAACGTTTGGAGCAGAAGGTGGACCGGTTTCGTGTAACGTCAATGACTTGAAGAATCTCGCCAAGAGTCAAAAGCTGGCCGTCATCCCGCCGATTCTTCAATGGAGTGCCAAGGCAGGCAAATTCTGGGCGCTTTCAGCACAACGTTTTCTCACGTTATTCACCCTGTGCATTCGGCACCAGGAGGCCCAGACTCCTTGAAGCGCTTGCGATGGAATTTGCCGCCCTTCTGATCTGGACCACGCAAAAACGTGGATATCAGCATTCACACCAGACCACGCTGTACCGACGCACCCATACATGCGTGACGCCCTGAAGGACCCTTAGTACATTCGCCGGACACATGGAGACGGAAGGTTCCATAAAAGCGACTGATTCCCGGGGGGTTGGCCGAGATGATACCCAACTGCCGGCGAACCGCCGGCGGCACTGTAGGTCGACAGGCGGCCATGACACTAGGAACACATTTGGGGCTTGATAGGTATTCTGGAAGTCTTACAACCTCGCCAACACCTCTGGAGATGGATTCTATGGTGTTGCCATACTGTTCAACATGCTGCTGGGTCTCGTTGGATTATTCTAAGCTTAATGATCCGAGCCGTTTTATACATGGAAGCACTACACAACATCACGCCGCCGCGATAAAGATGGCCTGAGGACATCGAGATGCATGACCCTGGTCTAGATTTCCGGCATTGCCTACCGTAATGACTAAGTTATTGCACCAAACTTACGATTATTAACCTCGTGGCAAAGATGTCCGGATCCGGGCATGGTAGTGGTTGACTTCTTTGACTGCCCCGCGCGCTTGTCCCGTGATCGTTGTAGTTAAGCCGGAAAATCTCTGGACTCACTAGAGCGGAACTATGCCGAAGAGTGAGCCCGGTATTCCGCAGTCATTATGGAGGGCTTGTCTGTCTGCCTCACACTTCGATCCCATCAACACCTGATTGGTTGGCTATCTAAAACAAAGCGCAAGGAAATGGTACATCGGAATTGTGTGATAGTCCTTCGATTTAAAGGATATTTGACCGGTATCCATTTGCAGTATGTTTCCCTTGGCGCGCAACAGACGAAGAAATTTTGTTCATGAACCCCTTCAGATATAGGATTGAAATTGTAGGCCTATTTACACAAATCAAATCCACCCTGGGGGCGCCCATTTCACTAGCTTTGGGTCATGAATCTTGTACCGTTTGCACTTCAAAAGGGTCACCTCAAGAACCGTTGATCTGGTGGTGGTCAAGACATCGTCCGACTAAAAAGCCAATGATGCATTAAAGGAGTATAGATAGCCGTCTGTATTTGTAAGCAAATAAATACCCTTACCGAGCGCAAGAGCTAAAGGCGAATTCGATATCATCATTTGTACTCAGGCGTGGTCTGAAGGCTTCCATTCGAGTTGGGTACATGTAATGCTTCTCGTACCATAGCAACGGTGGGTCATATCTTCCGGGTGTTCCGTACACATAGGAAGCTTTCAGACGCACCAGGAAGGCCCCTATGTCTGTGCATTCTCACTCTTCGTCTGACTCTTCGGACTGACCTTCCGGCTTTTGTCCGTAGACAACGTGGTTATCGATGTATTAGCGCCTTTACCACAAGTGACATGATTCTTGACGATCCCTAGCCGGTATACATACTGATCGAACATAGCATGGAGCGTACTGCTCTTGATCTCTTGTCGGACCTTCGCCAGCATCATAAGGACCTCCTCCTTCGTCTGCCCTAAGATATCGCAAAAGAGCTTGAGAGAAAAGGCCTGCAGCCCATCAAGGGTTTGTATCAAGTTCAGCATGCCGACCTCTTTATGTTAGGGATCCTTGGCCCAGGGACCTATGGGGCGCTTGAATTTGTAGTGCTTCACGTTCTGGAATCCAGTGTCCTTGACCCAGTCTTCCAGCTTTAGTCCGGGACAGCCAGTCCGACCCATAGACTCACAAGCGTCCACGAACTGCTTATTCCACTTGCGTGTTATATGCTCCTCGGTGTAGGTTCCGTCGTCGGAATAATACTCCGAATTCAGATCTTGGAACTCGGCCCAGCCCCCAGGGTTGAGATATCTGAAAGCTCACCACACTTAGATAAAGCCTTGTTTCTGAATCCGCAGGGAGAGTCAAAACTTACTTGAAGACGTTGCGAACCAACTTGGGCCAATCAGCGATAGAGACAAGCATGTGTCGGACGAATACGTAGTCGTATTTTTCGACTCCAGCCCACAAACTCTCGACGTCATCGATCTCGAACTTGACATTGGAGGGGACCCTAAGTGTATCAGTCTTAGTTCTGAACTCATACTAGTTTCCAGTCGTAATGCATTACCATCCGGGCTGAATAGCACTCAAGTCGTTGCCGATAATCTAATTTTGTTAGCAATAATGCCATGAGCCTAACCCCTGGAGCACTTAACCTCGGCGTTTGGGAAAACGTCGGCCATTTCAATCGCCCCTATACATTTCAAATCATCCTCTTGCCATCACTTCGACCGAAATAGCGGTCAATACTCACAAATACCGATCCCTGTGCAAATGTCAAGTATCCTCTGAATCTTGTCTTTCTCAAGCGGTGCTAGATAGAGTCTGTTTCCGATGGCCTTCACTGCCGTGGCATGGGTCCTTCCAAGCGCTCCATCTCCAGCTGCAATTATCAGGAACGTGCGAGGCCTTATTGTAATGACAACTTACATCGTCATTCGGAAGTACGTAAGCTACTTTGAGGTTAGAGAAATACGCAGTGATCACGTCTCAAAACCGAGACTCACTTCCTCGGCGAAAAGCATGATATCTTCGTCCGTAGTCTACTGGATAGTCAACGATGCTTGATGAAAGCGATTTCGTGTATGTGGTGCTGAGATGGTCAGCGAAATAAAGCGTCATTAAACCAAGCGCTTTTACATTCGCTCGTCGATCGAAGAGCTGTCGTCATCCTATTGCCGTCAGAATTTTGATTTACAGCTCCGACTGCATGGGTGCACTTACGGTGGCGTCATCAACCTCGAGCGGTGCTGGCTCAACTGTCGAAGGTTCTTTCGGCACCGAGGCTGCCTCTATCTCAGAAGAAGGGAGTTTGGCGGCAGATACCGGATTCTGCGCAGGCGCTGGAGCGCTATGGCCGGGAGGTTCGCTGGTGATTCCTATACTTGAGGCCTGACGTTGCAGTTCTGGATATGACAGACGCCAATTCTTTGGTGGAGGATCGAACGGCAATGAGAAAGAGAGAAGAAAGCAAGCGATCAACAACCGGAGAGAACGTTCTTTTGAGCATGTAAATTTCTTAACCAACGCATCGACTAACAGACCCGCTGCTGGCACGGCATGAAATCCGACCAAACATATCACGATTTGCTTGCATCCGGGTTCGCTGCCGCTGCACCAACAAGGACAGGATTGCCTTTTGGGACCAATGAAGAAGGATTTTCATGCAAGTTGTTTTCAATCTGAACGTCGATTTGGGCAACACATCCGCTTGACTGCGCAACTTCCCCTCTTCGCCAAGATTGTGTGCGGGTTTGCCGACGCAGGCCTCATGATCGTGCCGGAATTCGTGCCCGCCTCCGCGACCTACCGCAGCTTTATATTGCGGCGCTTTAACCGCCAAGTTCATACGCTGCTGTGGCGTCTTGCTTCCACTGGCTATAATGAGATCTCAGGACAGCGTTTTATTTTGATTCTCTCACTGAGCAGTATAGCAATGATTCGAAACCATACTCATTGTCTGTATCTGACATTGCTGTCCCGCCGAATAAACCTCCGTCACAAATGAAGGTGATCTGCGTCCCCGGAGCTTCCCAAGAAAGATGCCTAACATGCCATAGCCCACAGATGTCAAGCGTGTTGCTGTGGCCTCTTGACAGTCAAAGCATGCTTTCTAGTAATGAGATTCAACTCTTCCACACCACTCGACAAAATGAGAACAAAAGAAAGCCCTGCTCTGGTGGATAGTTCTGGCTTAGCACTCAGTGGTCTCAAATGCTCCTGTGGTGAAAGTGCCCGCACCAGTGGTGTCCAGGCGAAGGAAGCTCCTGTCCGGCACAGATCCTCGCGAGTTGTACCCAACTTGAACGGAGAAGTTGTTACCGTTCCGCAAGTTTTGAACACCGACAGTTGCACTCTCGCCCTTATCGTACGTAGTGTAGTAACGGTAAGTGACAATGCCAGGCTGGGCCTCCTCAAAGGTGGCGGTGAAGTGGTAGAATTGGCTTGGCTCGCCGAAGTGCACGGCCACCCACTCGAAGGTGACGTTCCGGCTGCCAGCATCGGAACCAAAGACCTGGTATTGGACGGCTTGGCTCGGGGTCTGGATGTACAGGTCATCCCAACATGGCAAAATGGAAACGGGCGGAATTTCACTGGAGGGAAGCGGCTCGTTACTGTATTCACCAGAGCCAGAGTAAAGCGAGAGAAACCCGTTGCTGCTGGCATAGACGGTCGTTTCATACGATCCGAAAACGCCGATGGGGAAGGGAAGTAAGGCGCTCGCGAAAAGATCATCGCCCCCAGAGATCAGAGAAGTGGGACTGGGCAAGACGGTAGTAGGAGTGCAGGTGCTGCCGATGCTGACAGTAGTGCTGTCGGCCGAGGGAGTAGTAGAGGTGGAGGACTCGACAGGCGTAGCGGAGCTGGGAGATGGGGTCTCGGTGGCTGAAAATCCTGTACTAGTCGACGTGTCTGTGGATGATGCCTCTGTGGAAGACACCTCCGTAGAGGAAGCCTCCGCAGAAGACTCCACAGACGACACCACTGCAGACGTGATTGTGGATGTCCGAGTTGAAGAAGACACTTGAGTGATCGTGACGAAAGACGAAGAGCTCTCTACAGCCGAAGAACTCTCTACAGCCGAAGAGGTGACAACAACCGACGAGCTCTGAGCACTGCGGGTAACTGTAACAACCGGAGCCGCCGCTGTGACGGTGACGGTTGTAGGCAAGACGCCGGAGAAACATTGACAAGCCGACCAATACGCGGATGCGTCGGCGCAAGCGCTCGCGTAGGCGGGGACAGCACCGGTGATGACAGGAGCTGCCTGTCGGGGCGCGTGAACGTTGCGACGGGCAACTTGGTTCGCAGTGACGGTCACAGCCCTTTACCTAATATTAGCTTCTGTCATGAGAACGCAGAATCATGCGTGCAGCGGTTATTAGGACAGAGGACTTACCCTGGAGTGACGGTGACTGTGGTGGACACGAAAGCTTCACACAGTGACTGTCGGGCTGCGAAGGGAGGGCTCTGTCGGGCTGTTCCTGCGACCGCGCGACCACAGTTATTGTTACAAATGGCTGCGGACACAAGCGAGGGAACGCCAATGAGGGCAACGACGACCGAAAAGGTCTTCATGATGGCGCAAAAGAATGGATGAATGTCAAGACGTAAAGAACTGTAAGTCGATAGGTGAATGAGTGGGCCGAAAGACTATGTGTAGATGAATTGATGAAGGGAGGAAAAAGGGCGAGGTGCCCTCCCTTTAAATAGTTTATACCATGGAAGAACTTTCTGGCCGTGATGTTTTGGCCGGTCATCCTCAGCCAGGGATGGAGACTTTGAGAAACACGACAGAATGCTTTAGCCTTACGGCTGAATCGACATGCGTCGCGCTGCCCTCGAAACATCTTGACCAAGGGCTAGCTGAGGAGTCATGGTTAAGTCTGTCCCAAGGAATTCATTTGCCTTCATTTCGGAGACTTCAAGGCAAGCTACGCGCCCAAACACATTAAAAGAATGCGTATAGCTTTCAGCCCTGCGAAGCCCGATGCTAGGATGATTGACACATGCTGATGGTGACATCAATCTAGCGGAGCGACCCGAATAACCTTAAAAATGACCTCACACATAGGACTCTAGGCGAATCTCTGGGTTTCGGTGTTGCGAGAGGTGGCTTTCTAGGGGGGCGGCTGAATGCACCTCCTAGCCTTAGCCCCGTCAGCGTCGTTCGACTCTACATTCTTAGACGCTTCCCTGAAACTGTTCAGAGACCTATGCGATGCCACACCACGCATTGAAAAAAGTTTGAAAGGCAGTCACGCACGTCAAGGCTTCTCTGATGCCAGAGAACGAAGCTGAAAAATGAGCCTGCCACTTTTGACTAACTCATCGAGCGCGCCATCTCAGGAACTTGTGGATAGGTTGCCGGTATGGAAGAAAATTGAGTCCGGAATAGGTTGTATGTGGTTACTTTCGTGGCGAAGATTGGGTTTCAGGTATCACCTCAGCTAGTACAAGCAAATTTCCGCAGGTCATGTTATGGACTGGTAAATGGACCCTTAAAAGATACATTCTGACAACAGGCCCTTGACAAGGCTGCCTGCGGCTTCAAGATATTGGCCCTACAACGTCATATAACCCTGGTCATGCGGGGACCATCACGGCTCTCTACATATTTCAACGGCAAGCGGCAGTGGCCTCCCTGGGAAGATAGAAACAACGAAAGAGCCCGAGCATCCTTCCGCCGTGGGATTAGAACTGTGAAAGGAGTGGTAATGTTCAATATTAGAACCTGAAGATTAAACCCATGATGTAGAAAAATGAACGGAAGTGCCTCTGATATTGATATCGATAAATGAATATTCCATCGCTATGCCGCCTTTTGCCCGACCCAAGAACAAAACACCATATATGTATGCACGCTGTCATCATTCAATGCCTCTCTCACTTCTGCCAGTAATCCCTGGATCTGAGTCTCCGTCATTCCCAAGCTCGAGAACGGTTTCACACCTGCTGCTCCCAGGAAATCTGCGCACACCTGACGCATTTGCCCTCCCACGTGCTGCTGTAATTCGTTGTCGTGAGCCCAGGGGCCGATTGGTATCTTGTACGTCCGGCACTGCACATTTATAAACCCCGCTTGGTGCAGGAGTTCTCCCGTCCTTGCTGCTATTCGAAGGTCGCATGCCGCTCGCTGTTGAGCCGTCTGCAGATGTGCCCAAAATTCGGTGACGGGAAAATCATCCGGCATTGTGCCATCGTCACATGACAAGACGGCATTAAAGTCTTGGGTTTCTATCCAGCCCCCTGGTTTTAAGTGACTGGAGACAATTGTTAGATGTGGGGGTGATAATATGATTAGATACAGAAGAACCAGAATAAACTAACTTGTACGCCTTATCTAGTATCATTGAAGCATCGGCTATGTATGGGAGGAAGTCTCGAGCATGTATGAAGTCGAAGTCATTGCTTATCTGATAAAGCATAGCATGAGAGACGGCCTCCGGCATGCAATTGGTAAATTCTCGTGAGGGTTTCAGGTACTCACAGGATCCACCCACTCGTCTCCAATGTCGTCTATTAAAAAGTCCACGTTTCCTGGAATCCTAAATTGTGTGAGTGGCTGTCCTCATGCAAACAATATCCAGACATCACTTACATGTCTGGTTGTATTGGAGACAAATCTACGGCGACGACCTGCGCCCCAGGATATGTGTCTGCGACTAGATTGGACAAAATTTAGTCCCAAGATGCAACAGGCCATTAACGAAGACTCTTGTTACCTTCAATAGCCCAGACGCCTACAGTGATATTGAATGTCAGCTCATGTCGCAAACACTTCACACACTTTGCTCTCACTTACCTACGCCGGTGCCTAAATCGAGAATCTTCTGCGGGTGGCTCCCGATCGGCGCATGGAAACGTCGGCCCTCGGTCACACGCGTAATCATATCGTGCTTCAGATATTCTCTTCCCTGCTCGACCATGTCGTTCGGAAAGGGGTATTTCCCATCTCTGTAGCGGTGATACCTGTTGGCTTCCATCAGCTCGAAGACTCCAGGCAACAGGCGGTGAAGTCTGAACGTGCGCCGAATGGGAATCTTCGTACCGTCTGCCTCCGTAATGAACATGGTTCTTTATTGACGAAGTCATAGACTTCCACCCGTCCGGCTCCGCGCTGAACAGGAGGTAGTCGTCATCGTCGCCGATGCCCTCGTCGTCGGCGGGTGAGTTATTTGCAGTAGCGTGATGTGGCGAGTGGTGTCTCTGATTGACGGCAGAGGAGGACATGCTCTCGTCGCGGGTTTGAGGCTAGCCAGAAAACAGTACGAAAAAAAAGTAAAGAGCCCAGGGCCCCGGGGAAGAAGAGTGGTTTGACGAAGTTGGGGCGGCGGTGGAGCTTCTAGAGGAGAGCGGGCAAATGCGACGGAGAGGCAAGCTTTCATCATTGAGTCGGGAGGACGGGACGCGCCGAGCCTCTCCACTGCTAAGCGCTTCGGGCCCAACAAGAGAAATGTCACGCGACCTGCAGCCCTGATTGGTTATGCCTCATCTATCTGATGGGGCATAACCCACTCGCCTCCTCACGCCTACCAGTTTTTCCCAAGGCTGCTCGCCGCATGTTGGTCCCAGTGGGTGGCGCGAGCCGACATTCCGTCACTGGCGGTGCTCCCTTTTTTGACGCGCAAACACGCAAAATTCGTGTTGGTGCCAATGTGGGTGGGAGCATACAACCCCGGTGTGGATACGGAAAGGTGGTGTAGCAATCTTGTCGTGACAAATGTATGGGGGTTTGCTGTAGTCGCAACGTGTCTGGCCTGTCAATTTCAAATTGCAACGGGCCCTTCCGTTGGCCGCATTCACCCATGCTTGACACTCCCGAACGAACCGATTGCAGAGATGGAAGCACGCTCTACTCTAGTGTAGCCCACGAGCGGGACCAAGCGCCGGTTTCCTCGGGGCCGGGACAGTGGCCCCGCCGCGGCGGACGGTCCCCGTGGGCCGCCGAAGTCGCCGGGCTTATGCATCGAGGGTCCGGACAAACCACCGTCACGGCTATCCATATGGTGTGCTCGAAGGAAGGGTCCAACGTCTGGTACCAGTTTCACCGACATCACCAAAGTTTTCTTCAACATTTAATCCCGGTAGTCTATAAGCGGCACAGCTCGCTGAAATGTGACGCGAAGAGTCATTTCTGGCCCCCTGGCCAATAGTCTCTCGTGGCGCAGCTTTGGCGAGATTGCTCCAACCTCAGAATTACAGAGGGGAATTCCTTGGCATGCAGCCTGTTTTGTTGTTTGTTCAGCGTGTTGGACCAACATGCTGCACCTACTGCAGAGCGCCAACACCGCTGCAGTCTTCCAACAACACCAACACCGGGCGGCAACACAGCCCAGGATATTCGGTCTTCCACGCGACTTTTCTTACCGCATCGTCACTAACTGCACAGAGCCAACCAACCGTGCCCGCCTGGATGAACAGCGCCAATCAACGTCCTCGCCGTCTGACAGATCGGGGCGGAGCACGAGGCCTCCATTCCGCCCCGGGCGGGAGGTCATTAAGAGAGGGCAGAGGACCGAAAACGCTGCTGTCCCGGGCGCTCATCTGATGCCAAAGTACCTAGAGATAAGCATAAGATATAACGGCATCATCGTCTAGTAGCACGTTCCAAGCTGTGAATGTCGAAACGTCCAACGCAAAAGATAGAGACTGAAACTGAAACTGCTGTGGCTGTACAAAATGATGTTTCTGCAACAACTTGTACTCCTTGCCGCCGCCGTTGGCCTCGTCAGCCCGGTCGCAGCCCAGTCGTCGACAAAGACGGAGAAGTCGACCGTGTGGCTGCCGCCGCGCTCCACACGCGCCGGCGAAAACATTTACGCGTCCGTCATCACGGCGGCTCCGTCCTCGACCGAGTTCCTGTTGGCATGCACGTCAAACTTTCGATCAGCGGCGTCGTGCTCGCAGTTCAGCGGCGTGACGCTGACCTACGGCAACAGCACCATGAAGATCGGGTTCAGGTAACACGCCGCAACATCCGCTCTAGGCAGCAGCGGGTTTTCCAAGGCAACAAGGAACTAACATTACCTGAAAAGATCTGAAACATTCGACTGCACGCGAGGCTCGACGGCAAGATGCTCTGTTGGTGGCGCCAACAACGCCGCTGCCGCCGAGACAGTTCTCTCGAGCTCCGAGTCTGCCTCGTGGTCGACGGCGATCACCATCATTGGCGGCCACGACAAGTTGAACAGCGCGAAGAGCAAGACATCGTCAACGTCAACAACGCCTGCATCGGCAGCGACGTCAACAGCCAATGGTGTGTGCAAGCGCGCGACGACGGGCGATGTTGACGGCGGCACCAACAGCGCGACGAAGCCCAAGACCAACCACAATAATGGCGATGATGGTTGTTCTGGCGCCAACAGCAATTTTGCTGGGCTACCAACGATAATGGCTGGTGTTGCATTGGTTGTCGGCGTCGCCGTAACCATCTACTTGTAATGAAGAAAGAAACAACGCGCAAAGATCAGTGAGAAATGGCAATGGAGAGAGAATAAAGTTGCGAAGGAGTTTTCTCAGTTGATGAGATGATCATGGGCAGAAAAAGAGACGGGGAGTGGGATGACCATGCAGATAACAGTGAGCTGTTATTGATGGACATCCGTCCCTGATCATTTCCGTCCTCTGGCCCATGGTCACGAGTCTGTCGCTTCTTTGGAGGATCTATCCGGTTCATGTTGCGTTTGCGGATGACTTTTGGTGGTCGATATAGGCATGGTTTCAGAAGCGAGTACGACGAACAGGCTATGAGTTTGTATGTTGAATGAGAGTACGTATGTATGTATGCCCTAGGGAAGTTGCCTTTCTCAGCGCTCACATCAGGGATTCGCACGATTCAAACAATAATGACACACATATGACAATCCGCCTGGCCCCAAAAATATGCCACCCCGCAGCGCTTAACCTTTGAGGGGGCGACGAGCCGTTTCAGTGTCCCTCGGCCCCTGGGCGGGTTTTGACAGGCATTTGGGCCGTTGGATGTGGTGGGGGAAATGCGCAAAAGGACCGGAAAAGCAGGCCAACGCGGGGGATCCAGTGTTTACGGTAGGCTCAGGCTGCACTAGCGACAGTTAAGCAAGTAGCGCGTCTACCTTGTTTTCTTAGTCTCCTGGCTTCCCGAAAGTCTGTTGGGGGCAAATGCGAGGTTGGTTCCTGAATCGCCAGAGGCACCCTTGTTCCTCTTACCGACCGGACCTGCGGGCGTCTTCGAATGACAGTCTTCGTCATCGGCGACTCGTCCACCGTGCTCGGGAGGACGTGTTCCCGTCCAAACATCTAAGATTGGGCTTATGCCGTGTGCGGATGCCGTCGGGATGAGGTGTTCACCTGAGTGTCAGTTGATTCACTTGACAAGTTGTCAGAGCTGACGTCAAAGAAAGTTTCGCGACATTGGCGCAAGATGGGACGAAATGTAAGAATATTCTGCCTAGCCAAACGCGCATCAGCAGGCCCAAAGAATCTCGTCTTTCGGTCGTCGCGTTTGGGATCTCCGTGGGATCACCGACACAGGGTAGAGAGCTCACTCCAACTCGCATCTCTCGCATCATCCAGGCGGTGACGAAAGCCGGTGGTGAGCCAACCCCGCCAGACCGACGTCTCCAAGGCTCTTGTGATGAGGAAAGAAGAAAAAAAGAATGGGCATGACAGATGTGGGCACGGACGAAGCTGATGCCGTCCCAATATTGTCCTCCACAGCGTCTGAAGGTTAAGCTTGGCAGTATGAGGCAAGGGTCGTGAAACCCCCCTGGTGGTGGGGAAGCTCGGAGCCTTCCCGCCAACTCAATCAACCAACAGTCGACTTCCGGAACTCTTCTTTGTTATTGACGGTTTGCGAGTGCATCTCCCATTGGGTGCTACAGCCGGATCAGATAGTAGGAGACCCGGGACCCTGGGATGGAACAATACCGCTAAGTGTCGGAGCTCGAGGCCGACTTGGCTTGGCTTATCGCCAAGACCGTCCCTCGAAAGGGCCCCAGTTTCTCGTAGCAGCGCCTCCGTCTCAACCCCGGGCCCAATCTTTTCACCTCGTCCATGATCCATCCCCCCCTCTGTCGTTCATGTCAGCCACTCAGAGACCCCTTTTGCACCTTAACACAACTCCACAGAGCCTCACGAGCCTCAAAGTTGTAACGACAGGCGCTCAGGCAGGGCATTCCCTGTCGCGCACGCCAGATCCGGTCGTCAGTTAGCTTCCCGATCAGGCCTAGCAGAGGCAGCCGCAACATCTTGGCAGCTTCATCGCACCCATGCGTCACGAACTCTGGAACCTCCTTCGAGGCTGGCGGGCTGACCTGCAGCCTCTGAGATGACATATTCGCGACCTTGACGTCTCAACCGCCCTTCCGAACCCTGCCATCCCATCTTGAGTCCATTGTCTGAGTGGTGCGCATTCAGCGGCCGCTGCGACCATGGCGACTGCGACAGCTGGGGCACATCAGATCCGAGGGGAGAGGGGCCGAATGGAAGCACTTGCTCGGTTGTCTCCCCATCACGAGAACGAGGGGGCCTGCCAAAAGTGGGAAAGATGGGAGGCAAACATCCAATGATCCAATGTAACCATGCAGCTTAATCAGGCACGTAAGTGTGAACGGACGAGACGATCGTCTGAAGAACGAGTCTATAAAGATCAGCTCGATCTTCCTCTAATCCGCCTCTTCTTTCCTTTCCTCATCACGCTCTACAATCATTACAACCTTGTTTGTTTTCTTCTTCTCTTCAAAACAGCTGTGCTGTCTTCAATCTCTTCCTAACGCACTTGATCATTCATTCTTCTTGGGTCCCTCTCTTTCGTCTCTTCTTAACTTTCGACAACTTTTTCAAAGTCACCAAGACCCCCCCCCCCCCCCCTTTCCAACCTTTCAAAATGAAGTTCTCTCTCGTCGCTGTCGGCTTCGCTGCCTTCGCCGCCGCCGCTCCCCTGGCCGCCCGCCAGAACAACGTCTTCTCCACCCAGACCTTCAACGACCTCTCCATCAGCGGCGGCACCGCCGGTACCGCCAAGCAGGAGGCTCTCGACAAGCTCTCCGGTCTCCCCACCGACCTGAGCACCGTCAGCAAGGCCGATCTGGACTTCCTCAACAGCGTCAACCAGATCGCCAACGACGCCGAGAAGGAGGCGTTCAACCCTGCCATTGAGGCCGCCACCGGCGAGGAGGCCGATGCTCTCCAGGTAAGACCTTCAGCCATCTTTGCAAGCAACCAAGGACGTCACTAACTGTGCAATGAACAGCGCGGCAAGATCAAGAACAAGGTCCTCAAGCTCACCGCCACCATGCTGAAGCTGCAGGCTCAGCAGGCCCAGGGCGAGGACGTCGCCGACAAGATGGCCACCGAGCAGAAAAAGCTCGACAACAACATCAAGCAGGACGAGGATGAGGCTGGCAACGCCTCCACCGCCCTCGACTTCGACGCCTCCACCGCATAATCGATTTAATTACCGGGAAGGCATGGGTGTCCGGGTATGAAAGCCCATCAACACTACATGATTGGATGAAAGGGATGAGACAGTATCGATCATGAGAAAATCACGAGATGAAAAGGGCGCTGTGTGCCGGACTCGGATGATTCGATCAAGTGCTGGCCATTGTAATGTTATTGGGGGTTGTATGGATACCAGTATACGCTCTAATAACCTTAAAAAGAGATTAAAAACCCTTAAAACCCATGTGGCCTGTTGAAGTGCATGCTTAATTGAATGATTCTATTGACTAAGAAAGTCTCAAGACAGAGCCTTCTTCGGCATTTCTGTCCATCTCTTCTTCAATACATGGACCGAGCTCTTCGGTTTTCTGTCTCGCGTGAAGACCCCCTTTTTGTTTCCGTCTACACGATGGATACCAGATGTGGTATGGAAATCCGCAAAATTCCACACATGCTCACCGATGACGCTGTCAACTCGGTCAAACACGCGGTGGAACATTTCCAAGAACCTAGCTTGGTACTCCTCGCTCCACGGCAAGTCGGTCACAGAATGCAGCCCAGACAACGCCTCCGCACCGTACTCCGTCATAATAATGGGCTTCCCGTATTTCACCTGCCATCCCAAGAGATCATCTTCCAGCACCTTCTCCGCTGCTTCCAGGTCTCCAGTCTGCGAGTACCACCCGTAGTAGCGGTTCAAGCAAATAACATCGAAAAGGTCCGTCACGCGGTCTTTCTCAAACGTGGCAAAGCCCATGTTCGCAAAGCACACCGGCCGCGTCGGGTCCAGCTTACGGGTCAACGACACGAGCGGCTCCAGGTACTCCCGCGCGCCGGGCTCAGCGGAGGCCGGCTCGTTGGTGACGGTCCACATCACCACGGACGGGTGGTTCTTATCGCGCGCCACCAGCTCCCGGAGCGCCTGCTCGTGGGCGGCCTGTGTTTTGTCGCTGCACGCTTCCGGGCAGAAGGTCGGCGGCGGCTTGATGCCGAACATGCCCGCAATAATGCCAAGGTTCAGACCCACCGCGGCCGTCTCGTTGATGACCACGATGCCGTGGCGGTCGGCGTAGTCCAGGACTTCTTCGGCGTACGGGTAGTGAGATGTGCGGAAGGAGTTGGCGCCCATCCAGGACATGAGGTTGAAGTCGTGGATCATGTAGGCTGGGTCGAAGCCCTTTCCGCGGATGGGGCTGTCCTCGTGTTTGCCGAAGCCGGTGAAGTAGAAGGGGCTACCGTTGATGAGGAAGCGATTGCCCTCGACTTTGATTGTTCGGATACCGAAGGAGAGCTCATAGGTGTCTAGCACATCGGCTGATCCAGGCGCGGAGAGAACTCTGGCATGCAGTTGGTACAGGTAGGCGGCCCCGGGTTGCCAAAGATGCGCCGACTCGATTTCGATCCGGCCTTTGGAAGTGTTTGCAGACGCCACAAGAGACCCTTGTTCGTCAAAGACCAGAACCTCAACAACGTCGTCCGTGACAGGATGTGTCGTTTCAATCTCAAAATCGACGACTCCTTGGCTGTTACCGCCAATTTCTGTTACCACAGTGATGTCTTTAATGCGGTTTTGAGGCACTGAATAAAGATACACCGATCTCGCAAGCCCGGCATAGTTGAAAAAATCATGCTGATAATGCTGCTTCCGTTTTCCATTGGCGAGGTCCTCAATTCGCCCGGGCGGTATCGTCCCCCAAGTAAGTTCGTTGCTAACAGCAACGGTGAGCCGGAACTTCTGTCCTGGTTTGACGACGTCGGTGATGTCCGCCTCCAAGGGGGTGTAGCCGCCTGAATGATCAGCGACTAGCTTCTCATCGACGTAAACGCGGCCGTGGTGTGTCGCAGCGTCGAAACGTAGGAGGTAACGTTGTGTGGCCCAGCTCCGGGGGACCGTGACGTGGCGCTGGTAGTAGACCCAGCCAACATGACTGCGGATTTTCTCGTCCACGAAGATGTCGTTGTAGCTGGCTGGGACTGGCACCTGCAGTGTTGATGGAATGGTTTTGGCCCAGGGTGCATCCGTTTCAATGTCGACCGAGTCAGCGATGGCAAAGTTCCAGATGCCATCGAGAGACACCAGCTCTCTGGTGGAATTGGCCTGGGGCTTGAGCATGGTTGTTGATGAAGAAGTCTTGGCTGATTCGTCGGTTGTACATGTGGTTGCCCCCGATCGTGAAGTTCCAAGTGGTGATGAGCAAGCACTTTTGACATGTCAAATGTCGCACCCTATTTGTCGAAATATGGGATACACAAACTTCGGGTCATCCGCCAAAGTATCGGCCGGTCGGGCTCCGATCTGCCGTTGCCGTCCCTCACTGCCGGCTTTCCCGGCCAGGATCACCCGCCACCTCGGAAGCTCCCCCACTTCGCCTGCCCACCATGCTTCCGTTCCGTTGGACTCACACAGGCCCTGACTGCCAATGCCAATTGCCATATCTAGAGATAAAAGAAAGACGCGGAGTAGTCCGCCAGGAATATCACCCGTACTGCGACCCAGTTCACGGGACACACGACTCGCATGTCTGGGGTTCGTGCGGGGAGTGGGGGATGGATTCGGGGAGAATTGTGAAAGCGTGGGGGATAGTCTGGGGAACACATCGAAAACTCTGGGGTGCATGCCAGGTTGCCGGGTCTCTCCAAGATTGAGTTCGATAGCTTGAACGCACTATAAAGGCAAGGTTCACACAAGCGGGCAGAATTCAGCTTAAGTCGAGCGAGCCAGACCCTGCTTCCATTATATTCGAGCTGCTCTTCGATAATCATGAGTGGCGACACAGATCCCAAGTCTAACGTCGAAATGGTCGAAAGGCCAGGCCAAAGCGAAGTTCAGCAAGAGTCGGCACCTGTGGAACGTCCATGGGGAGCCATTCTCCGCCATCGCAAGGTGGTCTTGTATGCGATCCTCGCCAACATCGGGCCGCTGATGTTCGGATACGATCTTGTGGTTGTTGGGGCTATCTCAGCTCTTCCAAAGTTCCGGTATAGCCCAGTGCGACTAGTTTTCATCTCTGACTTATTCGTAATTAAATAGAGCTAATACCTCAAAATAGTGAAGATTTTGGGGATGGTTACGGCAGAACGTCAATCCTCCCAGCGCTGTGGCTCGGCTTGTGGAACGGTCTTGTCCAAGCCGGCGCTGCAGGAGGTTCCATACTCGCTGGGTGGTCCCAAGACCGCTTCGGTCGGCGGGCAACGTTCTTCCTCGGGAGCATCTTGGGAATAGCAGGGACAGCTGCAGCTTTCACATCGGGCATGCCTTCCGGTACAACTGACAGAAGGGTCTTGTTCCTATTCGCCAAGATCATCATTGGAATGGGCTGTGGCGTGCTCATGTCCGCTTGTCAGACGTACATCTCTGAGATCGCACCCAAGAATCTTCGTGGTGTCGTCCTGGGCTTTATGCTTTCAACGTTGTAAGCAAGCGGATCTCCAAGCTGATCCGTAAAGAGAGATGCTAACGTTATTGTTTGACAGTCTTTCGGACACCTCCTCGCGATCACGATCGTTTACAACGAAGTCGGCAACCTGAGTTCTGAGTCTTATCAGATCCCATTCGCTACACAATGGGCATTTGGCGGAGTAGCCGTCATCGCCGCTCTGTTGCTGCCGGAAAGCCCGGTATGGTTGATCTCCCAGGACAACATAGAGAAAGCGGAAAAGTCACTGCAAAAGCTTGGAACCGCCGGCGGTCAAAATATGCTCCAGAGAATTCAGGCTACACTAGCGCACGAGGATGATGACACGGCCCAGGGCAGAGGTCCCCCAACCTATCGCGAATGCTTCCAGGGCGTCAATCTGCGTCGTACGCGCATCATAATCTTCCTCAACATCCTTCAGCAGTTCGTGGGCATGGCACTGTTGCAGAACGGGGCTTACTTCCTTACCATGGCTGGCATGTCCGCCAAGTACTAACTCATGGTTAACCTCATTGGTGTGGCCTCGAATATGGTTGCGAACATGGTTGCGAACATGATCTCGTGGTATACAGTGCCGAGGTTTGGCAGAAGAACAATGATTCTTATCAGCATCGTTCTTGATATCTTTTCTTGGGCTGCTTTGGGTATTGCCGCCTGTTTCAGCACCTCCGCGGCTGGATGGTGAGTTCGGAAGGATATTCTCTTGACGTTAGCTCGTGACTAAAACCATTCGTAGGTTCGTTGGAGTCGCTCTTCTTCTTTTCGGGTTTTAAACAGCTTCGGCGTCGCCAGCGCAGTTCCGGTTATTGCTTCCGAGATCTCCTGCGTCCGGCTCCGATCCAAGTCCGCCGGCATCGGCCTTGCCGCGCAATCTATCGCAGCCTGAATCTTCAGCTTCTTTACGCCCTATCTCTACAACCCAGACGAGGCGAATTGGGGAGGTAGAATTGGGTTCTTCTTCGCGGGTACTAGCATCTTAGTGCTCTTCGTGTCGTGGCTGGAGATTCCTGAGACCAAGGGAAGAACCCACGCCGATCTTGACTTTCTGTTTGAATCACGGATCAAGTCTTCTGCTTTTGCAAAAACTACTGTACCGGAAGTTCAGAACGCTGAAGATGACTTGAAGGGATTGGGTGGTGAGAAGTTTTAACGGAATACTTATCATGGGCTGCTGCTGTGTAGAATTCTCACTGCCAAGTCCGAGCCTCAGCGTTGAGATAAACAATATTCTTCAACATTGGAAATCAAGGCTTATCTCCAAGGCACGATTGAAATCACTATGGTTGTCTAATGCAGGCTCGTTTGAAACCACATATCGTGAACAGTCAAGACAAAGACTCCAACCAAACCCTCCAGTGCACGTCCTCCTGCAGAAAGCAATCGAGATTGCAGAAGGGGTCGAGTCCTCGGTTCGAAATACAGCGGAGCCAACGCCCCTGTGGTGTCCACCTGTCAGGGAGCTTGGTGACGAATTACTCGCGTTCTCTGGTCAGAAACAGTCACATCCACATTCACTACCGACGTTTGCGGCCCGCACCCTAGGGTTCAGACTTGCCGCACAGCCGCCTAAATGGGTCCTGAAGATTGATAACACGTTTCCCGTCGCTGCGACGTCAACAACCTGTTCAGCTCATTCAGAGCTCATCCCCGATGGCACAATTGGCTAGCGCGTCAGACTGTTAATCTGGAGGTTGGTGGTTCGAGCCCACCTCGGGGAGATTCAGTGGTTTAAATCCACCACGGGTTCTGTCTTTTGATGTTTTTGTTTTTTTCCATCTGATGTCGCTTGCCGAAAGTTGTGCACCGTGACTCGTCTCATTTTTTGCCGCAATTCAATCTGCTGTGGCCCCTGCTAGCGAACCCAAGACTAACCAAATATGAACAAATGTCTCCGGCGTCTCACTCTATGTTGCCGATCGCTTAACATCGTGTCTATCTGCGGATCTCATTTAGCTCAAGATTTCAGAGATGACATCGCGTGAGGTTTGCATAAGCGTCCGCTTTTGCATCGCGAATGCACCTCAAACTGGATACGGCCTCGACGCCGTCGCCACGTTTCTTTGGCACTGGGCTGACCGCTTGTTTGCTTGTGTATCGCCTGGCATTTCACAAAAAAGCAAGGGCCTCTGCCGGGAGTGGACTAGGTGACATCAGGCACATGGGGCCTGGGCTTCTTGACGAAACCGCGATAATCACTCTCAGCCACCAGAGTGGCAGAGACACAAATCCGGTCGGAACAAACCCACCTCATTCATCGCGCCTCAAAGAACTGACTAGTTACGCGTTTCCAGTGACTCTGATTGGCCCGTTTCCAATCTAATAGGATGAACCAAGAAGAGTCCGGTGTTCAGCCGCTCTCCCGTACAAACGGAACCGAGACCAAACATCAGTCCGGCGGACGCCCGCTTAGGGCAGATTGAGCATACAATCTGGAGCCTTCCGTTTCGATCGATATCATTCGTCCATTCTTAGAGAGTTTGCTCCCCAGTGAATATGGCACAATAAAGCCTGGTAGAGACAGGCGGGGCCTCGCGGGGGCCACACGGCTCACATACGGGGGTCATCCCTACTCACATCAATTTTCTGCGACGAGTGAATTGCCGCGTCTGGTAAGACGTTCGTGTCCCACTCTGCTCCCGTGGCGGCTTCACCAAACTCTTATGGGTTTCTGCCGGTTGCCCGCCCGCGGAGAGCCTGACGAGCTGCGAACTGCCCCATGCTTCTCCCACCGGACCCTTAAACTTCATCTAGAAAACGGACGAATGGTCCAGCCCGATGCTCCGTCTAGATGTCCGACTACGTCTCAAACCCTCACGCGTGTTGATGATTTAAAAAGCGCCGTGCCGCTCGCTGGCAGAGTCCGAAACCCTCTTTGACGTCACGCATCGCGGTAATTTCGACCTCTCACAGACATCAGGATGCCAGGCATCAGCGTGCCTTCTGGCTCAACCGACGCGAGCCTTCTCGCAAAGCCATATGCCCTTCTCTCTATCGCAGCCGTAGTGCTCATCTACGCCATTTACCGATGGGCCCTGCCCAAGCCGATATCCAACATCCCGCACAATGTGAGCGCCACGAAGAGCGTCCTGGGAGACATCCCCTCCCTGATGGAAGGCATCAAGCGCACCGGAGAATTCAACCTTTGGCTGCAGGAGCAGGCAGCAAAGTTCGGCTCGCCGCTCTTCCAGGTCTTCATCCGTCCTCTCGACCGGCCCATGTTGGTCCTGTGCGACTTCAGAGAGGCGCAGGATATCCTCATGCGGCGCAAAGAATTCGACAGATCGCGCGCGACGGCCGATCTCTTGGAGAGCAGTGCGCCGGACCACCACATCCATCTGAAGACGGACAGCGAATGGAAGCGGCACCGAAGGCTTTTGCAGGACCTCATGTCCCCGGGTTTCCTCAACGAAGTTGCCGGCCCTGCTGTGTATGCGGGCGTGCGGAGACTCATCGACCTCTGGAACGACAAGACTCGGATGGCTGACGGACGGCCCTTCCCTGCTGAGTTGGACATCTACTATGGAGCCCTGGACGCCGTGAATGCCTTCACCTTTGGCGGCAACTTCCCCATCAGCGCCATCAAGCCCTCACTGGAAGCCGTGGAGAGTCTCAAGGCCGAGGATATTGAACGACTTCGAAACGCTTCCACCTCCGGCAACAAGCCCATGGATTTCCCATACGGAGAATGTGATGAGAAGATCACGGGAACTTTGGATTTGGCCGGCGCCATCGAGCATCTGTTGGGATCCCCGATTCCCAGGATCAAGTGGTGGTTTGTCAAGAGGAGACCTGAGATTGTGAAGGGTATGGCAATCAAGCAGGCGTACGTCAAGGAGGAGATCGCCAAAGCGCTGCAACGCCTCAAGGAGAGTGGCAACGTGGAGGAGACGAAGGTTTTGTCTGCTGTCGAGCTGGTTGTGCTCAGAGAGAAGAAGATGGCAGAGAACGAGGGTAGACAGCCCGACTACTTCAGCCCTATTATGATTGATGAGGTAAGTAATGACTTCTTTCATCATCACTTCGTACTCATAGTTTGCTAACCTCTCTCAGGTCTTCGGCGTAGTCATCGCAGGCCACGATACAACTAGCACCACCATGTGCTGGGGTGTGAAACTCCTAGCAGACAACCCCGACAGGCAGATGAAGCTCCGCGACGCTCTCCGGGCCGGCTTCGCCGACGCCGCAGCTGAGGGCCGCAGCCCCAGCATCAAGGAGATCACGAACACCAAGATCCACTACCTGGACGCCACGATGGAAGAAATCCTCCGTTGCGGCGGCGCCGCCCCGCTGATCGACCGCGAAGCCACCTGCGACACCGAGCTCCTGGGGCACCACATCCCGAAAGGCACCGTCGTGATGATGCTCGGCAAGGGACCCAGCATGATGAAGCCCGCGATCCCGGTCGACGACTCCAAGCGCAGCAAGTCCAGTCTCGCCGCGAAGGCCCGCGTCTGGGACGACGACGACGTCGACCAGTTCAAGCCTGACCGCTGGCTTGTCGATGGCGAGTTTGACCAGCAGGCCGGCCCTCAGCTTGCTTTCGGTCTCGGCACACGTGGGTGTTTCGGACGTAGGCTCGCGTACCTGGAATTAAGGATTATCGTGACGCTGATTGTGTGGAACTTTGAGCTGATGCAATGCCCGGAGGAGCTGTCTGGGTATGCCGCAAAGGAAGGTCTCACGTTCAAGCCCAAAGATTGTTACGTCCGTCTGCGCGCACTTGGCAAGGAGTAAGCTTGATGTTTTGGGCAATTGTAAAGTTTGGGCACGAGGAACCGGGCAGCATAGTTCAGCGCGTCATGACCAGGGATTTGTCCTTGAGTGTAATTTTAGGCATTAGACTGGATGCGATCATCACCAAATACCAATCCTATCTACCCAATTAATTATCCTTGGCCGCATTCCTATAGCATTTAACAAGTCCCGAGTAACTGCATTCAGCCAGCTCAGCGGGAAGGCATTTTTGCTTGATCTTATACGCCGAGGTTAATCCTCATTCTAGGTCATCCAAGGTAGGTATGGATCAAGGGCAGTCGCGCGGGTGGTTGCGCAAGGGAGACTGTCATCGGCTTCTCTCTCGTTCGAAGGCACTAAGATAGGGATAAAGGTCTAGAGTCTTGTCGCCACGAGATATGATTCGGGCGACTCTTTGAGGCATATTATTTCAGTCTCCACCAATCACAGCGCGCCCCATCGTGGTGACAGCGACGGACTGGCTGGACGTTTTCAACTTCCCCGCCCCTCGGTTGCTAGCGTTGCTCTCGCCCAAGATGCACGCGCAGAGGCTCCAGCACGATGCATGACGCAGCTGATCAAGTCGTTCAATTCTAATATCACAGTATTGAATTTCGAAAATGGCAGACACCACCGAACAAGCTCCCCCGGAACCGATCGAGGCGGGCGATGCTGGCCAAAGTGAGGACGAGTTCGAGCCCCAGGAATGGGAATCGTCCTCGTCTGGATCGGCTTCTGTTACGTCATCCATCTTGCAGCATGCTTACGCCAACGGAAGACGGTAAGAACTGGATAGCGAAATAAAATACCATCGCGGCTTTGTTCACGAGGTTTAGGTATCACTACTATCGGGACGGAAAGTATCCCATCCCAAACGACGATGTTGAACAGAACCGCGAGGACATGAAGCACGCCATGGTCATGGAATTAACCGACGGGAAACTCTTCCATGCACCAATTGGCGAAACACCTGGGAAGATTCTGGATCTAGGAACCGGAGTTGGTGAGCCCGACCCCATAAAACTTGTCTTGAGAACACGAACGTGTATTTACAGATTTACAGGTACCTGGGCGATAGAAGGTGCGTCTGATTCTAGCTTACGGGCAACTCTGTCACATAAAGTGCCATAAGGCAGGTATTCACTGATAGGATCCCTGCTAGTCGGAGATCTCTATCCCTCTGCAGAAGTGACTGGCTTAGACTTGTCTCTCCCATTCAATCGGACTGGTTTGTACATGAATTCAATCTCTACGTCAGCCCTCCCACTAACAGTCTCAAGGGTGCCCCCAAATGTTCACTTCATCGTCGATGACGTTGAGGACGAATGGCTTGTAAGTTTAATGTGCAAAATGTGCAAAATGTGCAAGTTTCTGTGGCTGACTGTGCTCAGTCTGGCGACAACTTCGACTTCATCCACATGCGGAACCTCGCATCTTTGGCTCATGACCTACCCAAGTTGCTTGAACATGTCTATGCGTAAGCATACAAGATTTCCAGTCCCCATTTCGTTTCGGGCTACTAACTGCTCCCTCATAGCAATCTCAAGCCTGGTGCGTGGGTCGAGACTCAGGATTTCAGCGCCAACGTCGCCTGCGATGACGGCACAATGCCTGACGACTGGTACCTCTTGCAGCTTTGGGAGAAGATCCGCCAGGCCATGCCGAAGCTCAACATCGATATACAGGTGGGACCTCGCGTCGGTAAAATCATGGAGGAGGCAGGCTTCGTCAACGTGCAGAAGAAGTCGTACAAGGTCCCTGTCGGGACTTGGCCCAAGGACAAGACCTTGCGCTTGGTGGGCATGTACATGCGAACCGTGACTGAGGACTTCCTGGGTGCGGCGGCGAGTAAGCCGTTGGCGGCTTTGGGCATGGAGCGGACGGAGATTGAGGTCTTCCTTGCCTTGGTCCGCAAAGCGATTAGGGACCCTGAGGTGCATGCGTATGGCACTTAATACTCATGGATTGGACAAAAGCCTCGTGCCACTGAAGGCGAGCAGGCTATTTGACAAATTACGAGAGGTGGGAATGGCCGCCATCATATGATAAGAAGGGGTCATCAAAAAATCCTTGATCTGACATATTGCAAGTCAAGCTGCTGAAGACGTATCGTCTATTTGAGGTGATGCGATGATAGTACAAGGCCTTCTGTAGTGACCATGGCTTTTTGGAGAGTCCGTCATCAACGTAGTTACTTCACAAGTATTTAGTAGAGATTGTCACCACGTCAAATCTGTTTGTGGATAACGTGAACAAATGCTCTTTGATATGAACGTCCCTCTAATAACCAATTAATCTATCGGATCTACTTTACCAACCACCTTGGCTGGAACTCCAACAGCAACTGAATAGGGAGGAACATCCTTATTCACAACCGCTCCGGCACCGATGGTACAGCCCTTGCCAATCGTAACTCCAGGAAGCACCGTAACGTTGGCCCCCAGCCAACAGTCATCCTCAATCGTGATCGGCTCCGCATACTCAATGTTGTCTCTTCGGGACTGCAAGCTAGTCTCATGCGTCGCCGTGATTAGGCTCACACCAGTAGCGAACATGACGCGGTCACCAATGGTGACGTGTGCGCAGTCTAGGATGACGGTGCTAAACAATGTCAGGAAAGAACACTTGGAACAGTCGCAGAAGGGCGAGATATCTTACTTGAAGTTGGCATAGAACCGATCTCCAATGGTGATGTTGCAGCCGTAGTCTACTTGCAAGCTCGGCTCGAGGTAAATGTCCTCGCCCACCTTGCCGAACAGCTCCTTGATCATGGCAACCCTCTTGTCGGCGACTTGTTCCGCCGTGGCCTCCTCTTCGGGGACATAGGTGTTGAATTTCTGGGCCATGCGACGTGCTCGGTTTCGGGCGTGGACCAGCTCGGGAGCCATGCAGCTGTACAGCATTCCGGAGATCATCTTTTCGTAGTCATCGCACCAGGGGACGTGGGTCAGGGATTTGGCGTAGGCCACCGCCTGTTCATTCTTCTCTGTGCGAACTGGGGGAACCATGGTGGCTGGGTGTGTCTTCAAAGAGGAGAAAGATGAAGAAACAACAAATCAAAATGAGATGCGATGAGCGATGGGCTTCTTTATATAGATTGAATGGATGGGAAGGGAGCAAACGGTTGTGGTGATGATGTCTGGAGGGGACAGCTGGCCGAATTTCCTTATTGGGTAATAAAACCAATTGATCGTCTCCACCAAAGAAGCGGCTGAATTTCTGTTGGTTAGTGAAGTTCAGAGGCTTTTGTTGGGCACCTCAAATGGAAGTACATCCAATCCAGTTGGCAAGACACGCGCTGTTGACTACCGTGTTGTGTTCCTCCGCACAGTTATGGGATACCTACGCCGATGCGCTGTGATGCATTGGGGCTAGCGTAGCGCACAGCTAAAGTACTCGCATTGCAGGGCCTAGTTACAGGGGGCACATTGCGGTCAGAATACCCGACAGCAAGTCGACGTCTCATGACCAAGAACCACAATGGCGGTTACACATGGACCATTGAGCTCAAGCCAGATTGATTTCATCAAGCATTTCATATTTTTGTCGTCTCTCTCTCAAGGCTGAAAATACCTAGGCCTGTGCGTTGCCTCAGAACCAACCCCGATCTGGAACTCATTGAACCTTAAATGAGTTGAAGTCTTGAAGACTTCTTCTGATAGCTGGTCATACTATGATCGACCCATCCATTCGATAATCAGGCACTCATCCAGAAACCTATTTATTGTCTGTTGTCTGGTGTCCGCTCACATTCATCGCGAAATGCAGCACCAAGTGTCTACACTCTTCCAACAGGCTTTTGCCTAGCGAGATCGCGGTTGTAGAAATGCCGAATCAGGAGCGCCGTCAGGGCTGCGCAGGCCCCAAAACCAGCAGTAATGTAGTTTCCGGTCACAATGTAAGGCTGAAGGTTCGCTGGGAAGGTAAAGATAGGAACCCATGCCGTAAAGATGTAGGCAAAAGCGTTCATCTGACAATGAACATCCAAGTGTTAGCTTCGGCCCACTGACAAAAGGGGATCAATTAATGTTAGGTAGAATGACTCACCAAGGCAGAGGTGTACGCTCGCTTTTCTGGATCATGTCTGCTGGTCTCGTTGACCCAGGCCCAGGTGATTCCGGCACACGTGCCGGAGAGAGCGGTTAGATCTGAGAATGATAGTTAGCAATGATATTGGGGAGTGAGAGATTAGTACGAATCTAAGGCCTTACAGTAGAGAGCCCAGCGACTGCCAATATTCGATGGATGTACAGGAGTCGCGGCAAGGGCGATGGGGAAAATGATAGCCATGACGCTGGCAAACACCATGCCCGGCCATCGAGCTGATCCGGGAAGACTGTCGGAAACCCATGAATTGATGAGGGTGCAAACGATTGAGATGATGTTTATCTGTATCAGATTTCAGCCAAGCACGATATCAACTACATATAGACGGACTCACGCCGAGAGGGATGATGTTGATTTCAGCAACTGAAAACACTGGAGGTTTTCCGGTAACGTTGTAGCTCTTCACCCAGAAAATCACTGGAATTTGTTAGTCCAGGATGAGGGGAGTGCCAATTCCTTTGACACTTACTGGATCCTCCAGATTGACCGAGTTGTGCGAGGAACGCGAAGAATATGGGGACTTCTAGTGTCAGCGAGAGAGACTTCCATCGATACAATGAGTGTTCCTACATAGATAGACGTGCCAGGTGGTATGCCATCGTTTGATGTCCTTCCATTTGAAAAGTCCAGTCATCGGCCGAACCTCGCTAGGCATTCTGGCACGAGCCAACTCGACCTCCTTCTCGGTGAAGATCCTAGAACTTGTCAGGAATTGCCCGTTGTGGCTGGAGATGTCAAAAACTTGGATAAGTACGAACCAATTTGCCTTTGCACGGGCCGGTAGCTGATGCACGGGCCGGTAGCTGAGGCATCGCAAAAGCTGTCCAGACGGCACAAGGAAAGGAAATGTAGCCGCATACACTAGAAAGTTATTAGCTTCACCACCCTCATTGGTCAGCAACACAGGTGTAGCCAAAGAACTCACATGTACATCCATCTCCAACCAGGCAGACCGCTGACTCCATCTAAGCCTACATAGACAGCTGCCATCAGGAACCCCGAGAAGAGAGGCCCCACAGACGTGAAAACTTGAATCAGGGTGTTTCGTCGAGCTAACTCGTAAGGTTTGTAGTAACTTGAGCAGACATACATCACCGCAGGAAAATGACCCGCTTCAAATAGACCAACACTGAGCAAAGGGTAGGACTGTGAGCTTTTTCAACGATCAGAATGAGAAACGAGAAGTTCAGCTTACAAAAAGCGGAAGACATAGAGCTGGTTGACATCTTTGACACCAGCAGTAGCGAAGGTGAAAACGGTCCATGATAACTCAAGGAAAGCGATGTAAAGAGGCGCATTGACCTAAAAGATTTTCGTTAGTCCTGGAGGTCATTCACGAGTGCCCTGGGGATTGCTTACACGGGTGAGAAGCAAGTTGGATGGGATTTGACCAAACACGTAGGCCGCACTCCAGATGGCGTTGGCGTAGTTGAGCTCTTTTCCATAGAGTGCGAGGTCTTCTTTCATACCGCTATCTGATTGATGTCTTAGCTTATCGTTTCGCATGATTGGTTCTGACTGTTGCACATACTGAACGCATTGGTGATGTTGACTTGGTCCAAGTAGCGACACATCACTCCCAGAGCAGAGGAAGAGATGAGCGTCAAGTCGAGCTTGGTGAGAAATCTGGCCTCCTCTTTAGGGACATCCAGGGCTGCAATGATCAGCACGATGATGCATGAGAATATATCTGGTTGAGAGACGTACTTGACCAGAAGAAGGACTTCCACGTCCTCTTGGACTCCGTATAATTTGCGCCATTGGTGGTTTCATGATCGGAGTCCTTGGAACGAACTGGCGATTTTTCGTGGCTATGCCGGACGACGGAAACGTTCTTCACGTCTTTTTCTTGAGGCAGTGACATGATTGCAACAGCCTTGGACATGTACGCACTGCGCCTGATGGAGACATTTGCCTGTTGATCGAGATTGAGCACTGATCTTATCTGTCACGCCAATAGCCACATCCATGGGCTCCTACTCTGGGGACCGGTAGGTTGGGGTTCGAATCCAGTGTCGCCTTCAGCGGGTCTCATGGCGACATCGCGCGATGAGTGGCCAGACTTCAGTCCAGGGCATCGTCAGCTCATGGTCAGTCATGTCTGCTAGTCATTCAAAATCAATCATTGCTGACATTTACAGCCAGATTTTATCGTCTATGCCCTACTTGACCACCTTAGCGATCGTCGGTTATCAGTGATGTTGGTTTTTGGCAAGGGCAATCTGCGGCCGGGAGGATGACGCGAGATTGTTCCAACCACGGGGCCATATTCAAGATGGCGTGCTTCAGCCCGTCGGGAAAAGTCCGCTCTCTTGTCGCAATTTTCGGGCCAACGTCACTGCAAAGACATGAGCCACGGCCTTGAGTGGAAAGGTTTCGGCAAAAATCACAATCTTGAAGGACGCCGGTTAACAGAATATTAAGGTGTATAGATACTATTTACATTGAATACAAGATGTCCTTTTTTTGGGATGATAAGATCATCTGTAGGGTTCGCCTCAAAGGGACGCGGGAAGGTTGAGGTTTTACTCACTGAGCTGCCAGGAACGCGTCAATGTTGGCGGTGATGTCAACCAGAGGCCACTCTGTACGGTTTCCGGCCAGTGTGCCCACAACCTTGTCGTCGCCGAACCACTCAGTCACAGCGTACACACTGCCACCGATCTGCACCGTCGCCGTAGTCGAGCCACCCTCAGCCAGATATGCATTGGGGACGGTACCGATGACCGCAGCCGAGTCCCACTTGGCATCCGCCGAGTGAAGCACGACCGTGCCATCAACGTTATCGGAGACAAGGATGACGGTGCCCCTGTACCGCGACGGGATCGACGCGCCGTCAAGCGCCGAGCCGATGGTGCTCGCCAAGGTCAATGGCACCCGGGTCGGTGTCGGAGCAGTGGCGTTAGAAGTGGTGTCGAGGTTGAATCGGTAGAGCTGTCCATCGGAGTTGTCTGCGATGAGGATCGACTTGCCGTCGGGCGCTGCTACGAGGCCAGAGAAGCCGTGAATGGTGTGGTCCGCAGGTGTCTTGAGGTACCACGCAGTCGCCTCGAATCCGTCGGGGCTGACGCGGATGATGCTGCTTGGGAAGGTGCCGAGAGCATATGTGGTGCCATCGGGGCCGTGAGCCGTGTCTTGGAAGCCGCCGTAAACGCCGCCAGTGACCTCGGTCAAATTACGTTGCCAGAGGACCTTCTCCTCCGCGAGGTCGTACTTTACGAGAATGTTGTCGCCGGTGATGTTCTGTCCTGCCGTGTCGAAAGCGGATCCGGCGTCGACGATAATGGACAGCCGGTCAAGAGGATCGACGCGGACGCCGCTGGAGTGAAGCTCGCTGTCGAAACTGAGTCCGGGCAGCTCGATGGTCTTGATCTCGGAGGTGTACGGGTTCCAAGTCGCGACGCTTGCGTTGTAGAGAACGCTAGGTAAAGCACGTGAGAAACGAGTGGTTGTTTGAAAATTATTAAAAGAATTCATACCTGAAGTAAGCCAGGCAACGCTTCTCGTCAAAGTCAGCGTTCTCGGGGTAGAGTTGAAACGCGTTGACTGTTTGGTTTCCTGACACCGAGCCGCATGTCGTGTTTTGATGTTTTGTCGGACATGCTTGGACAGCTGGCAATGCCAGTAGGGGCAGTAGACAGGTGAAAAAAGCGGCCATCTTGACTGAGGCGACGTGAATAAAGACAGATAGAAAACTCTGGTGATGGTTTTTTGTTTATTTACCAACTGTTCATGGATTTTCGGACGAGAATAACGTGAAACTTATGTATTTGCTTCAAGTCCCGGACGCGAAGACTTCCGGTTCTCTCATGTTCACTTACAAATAGAAGGTCACTTACAAATTCCCGTCATAGACATGCGCGTCAATCTCATTTCTCATAATGCTACAATGGCCCCTAACGGGGAGAACGAGGACCCGCAATCATGGGTGTAGCCGGTTACGGCAGTGCAAAGTTGACTCGTGCCCAGGCATGTAGGATAGAAGAAAACTTGGTGAGCTGGTTGTTCAGCCCTACGGATTCAAACTGCATCCGACGGGAGCTAATTGGCAACAAGCTTTTGGCAAGACCCCTACGCCCGGCAAATCTGTTTCTTACTCGACAGCGTTTAAAGTCATATCAGCCATTATTTTTTCCAGGTGTACACTCTCCAGCGGACTCAAACACCGACATTGCGACAAGTATCGACTGCTGCTCCCACCGACGTTCCCGCCGAGCCTTTCAACATCCAAACATGGATGGGATGACATGAAGTATGGAGGCCGCGGGGCACTTCATAGCGCAAAAAGGAAGTGCAAAAAGTACAGCAGAACAACAAGCATATGTTCTATTAGTATTGCTTGATTCGTTTGAGCCAATCATCGCCTCTTCACTCATCATGGTACTTGGAATGAGTAACGCCCAGCCATCGACTAGCTCGTTCGGGAAGTTCTATCCAGACCCATCAGCGCACTGCCGCTGTCAATTTCAAGGGTGACCAAGCTTTGATCTTGAGAGCTTGGCGTTTAGATAACCGTATTGAGCAAAGATTTATGATCCCCAGGAATCCGATTTCCGAGGCCCCACATTATGAACTTCTGCCTCGAGAACCGTTCTCGTCACGATCTCCGTTGCATCAACTCGCGCTTAGAGAAGACTTCTACAGGCTACCATGGAATCTGCCTGATAGGAACAGGAGGCTTGCGAGCAGATCGCGCGCCAATCTAAGTAAAAAGTGAGTGCATCGTCTTTCGATTACTAGGTATTACAACAAAAATGAAACATGAAAGGGACGAGACTCGAACTCGCGCGGGTTGCCCCACCAGGAAACAGATGTTAAGCTGACCTTAACCTGGCGCCATAACCAACTCGGCCACCCTTCCGTGTCGTGATCCTTAGATCGGTGATGGTGATTTCGGGAGGATTACGGGGATATCGACGAACCCCAGCTTGCAGAATTTTCGAACTTGGTGTTGTGGGGTATGGCGAAGTGGATTTCACGAGAGCCCTGGCCGAATGAGTCTGCACCCACAGACCGGGCCGGGCCCGGGGCCGGGAGAATTGAAAGGGACGAGGCGCATTAAGGCTGCACCGGTACAGGGATGAGAGACGGGAAGTCAATGCAGCAAGACTGCTGAAATATGCGATAGGTCTTCCGCGAACACCAACCAACAAAGGTACTTCGACTGCAACAGTGGTGATGTCATGGCAGGACCCTCAATGCAAGCTGCAGGGAGCTTTGACGCGGAACATCGTATCCTTCGCCGTGGTTTTAGTGCTTGTGGCTTGCCGGAGTGCCGACTCGCGCCTAGGATTGCAGGTCGCGTTCCGTGGCAGTCTCCAATGACAAAGACCCGGCGATAAAATGGTGTTAACCCGGACTCAATGTACGTACCGCGTGTTAAGCCCGTGTTTGATACAGCTTAGTTCCGCCGCTCCGTTGATGTAATGGCGGGTTTACGAAGATGCAGGCGTTGATGAGAGCACCTGGTTCTTGCAACCCGCGAATCAAACCAAGACCACAATCGCGGCAACTCAACCGTATAAGTCTTGCCGAGAATAACACCTACTGAAACACCAATAGAGACCGCACACAGCAACCTCAGGATGTCATCCACGAAAGGTCTTGTCCTCGTTACAGGCTCGAATGGGTTCATCGGCGCTCGAACTGTTGAGGCATTCCTTAATGCTGGATACTCTGTCAGGGCAGTAACCCGATCGCAATCGTCGGCTTCTGGTCTGCTCGACGCACTCCCGCAGTTTTCAGAGTCCGGTCAGCTATCAATATCTCTCGTACCCGATATCACCATCCCAGGTGCCTTCAACGAGGCTGTCAAGGGAGTCACAGCCATCGCCCACCTTGCAAGCCCCGTCAATTTCAAGATCACAGACGCCGACCTCATCATCAGCTCAGCGGTCAAAGGCACAACCGGCATTCTTGAATCCGCTCTACGAGAACCGAGCTTGAAGTAGTTTGTGTACATGTCTTCGATCGTGGCAGTACGGGGCCAGGGAGAAAAGTACCAAGGCCGCAGTGTTACTGAGGAAGACTGGAACGACGAGGCAGAAGATACGCTTGCGAGACTCGGCGACACTGCCACCGGCCACAACCTCTACGTCGTCAGCAAAATCAGAGCCGAACGCGCATTCTGGGAATTCCGGAACAAGAATGCAGACAAGATCAAGTTCTCCATGACGGCAATCAACCCGATCTGGGTTGCGGGGCCGCCTCTAATTCTGCCGGAAGACCCCAATAAGCTGAGCGACACCGCGATTATCGCCTACCAGATCATGGCCGGCCAGTCTGTACCGCCGGCGGGACCTGGCAATGGAACTCACGTCGACGTCCGGGACGTTGCCCGGCTGATCACATTTGCGGTGGATCACCCAGACGTTACCGATGGGCAGCGATACATTGCCGGCGGTAATGGCAACTTCGCCAATGTCCAAGCCTATAGCGATGTCCTTCGTAAGGTTTACCCAGAGAGGCGGGATATCATTGTGGAAGGCGAGCCAGGGAAAGGCTATCTTGAAGACTATAGCGAGCCCCCTAACTCTAGGAAAGTCGATGCGAGCAAGGCAGTGAAGACATCAGGCCAGGGCTGGATACCATTTGAAAAGAAGCTACTGGATGCTGCAAAGGCATATGAGAGATACTTCTAAGGGACACTAATTGTTGACTAGAAAGAAGGCATCAACCTTCGAACGTCAAGATGGTATGCTATAGGTAGTTCGTGTGAACAAGCGTTAAAATAGTCATTACTTTGTCTAGCTTATAGACTCAACAGTAACTGCCCTGACCCGTCCACTCCGACTTGACCTGACAACTCGCACATGGGCATCTTGATCGCTCAATTGACTTTCAACATGTGAGTCAGACGACTGCGTCGCACCCTCCAATACCCACGCAGTTTCATCCGACACAATCTGGGCAATCCCCTGCCAATAGTTACCCTGGCTAGAGTACCTGCACTGCACCATGAAAACGAGAATCACAGCCAGTCCAACTGCCATATTCAGAGCAACCACACCGAACACTACCATGAGACCGCGAAAGCTCTGCGGCGTCAGCACATTAAGAGATGAAGTCAACAATGCGTTTCCCTTGACATCAAATTGCGGGAGCGCATCGTTGATGATCGAGCCTGACAGCGCTGTCAAGGTGGACTGCATCGCCACACCAGGCCTGTTGGTCGCGTTGAGAATGTCGGAGAAGATGGCTTGGTATTCGACATTAGGTTTTACGTGGGAGATCCCGCTCCCGAGCGGATCCATGAAGATCGAGATGTTATCGCGCGGCGAGTTGTAAAGATCGTTGATGAGCTTGTTGGTGAGGTATTGCGTGGCGTTGAGATACTGCCGATTTTGGATGAAGTCGACGCTGTAGATGCCACGTCGCGTTGTCGTATTGGATCGAGGCCCGATGCCCAGCTGGCGCTGAACTTTGCGAGTGTCCCATACCTTTCCGTCGGCGTCCCAGGTCACCTTCGGTTCTGTCAAGTCCTTCTCACTCAAGACCTTGACGTCGGCAAAGTTGATTGCGACTTGTTGGAAGCAGATGGTCATGTCCAGCCTCAGGACACCCTTGTTGATCCGTCTGCCCTCGGGTGTAAGTTCGGCAATGGGCCTTTCGTATGTGATCCACTCTCCGTCGGTGTATGAGACATTCGGCAAGGCGAGGTTGACGCTCAAGAAACGCCCATCAGAGCTCCTCCACAGGTCATGTGTTCCGTTCGTGCGGAAGAATAAGAAAGCTTCGGACCATGCTGTCACAGGCTCACCCGAGATTGTGAAGTTTTGGGCGCTTGCTCTGGCGTTGCTGCCATCCGGCAGGCAAAGGCCGTTTGTAAGACCTTGCTTGACTTGTGCTTCGGTATACTGGAATTGTGGGAGGGAACAATTGAAGGACGAAGGGAAACATGTCCCGTCCTCGCAACCTGGCGGTAATTGTAGTCCCGCTTCCCGAAACGTTGCCTGGATTGATATGTTGCCAACAAGTGCGAGGTAGAAAGACAGCAAACTGGTCGAGGAAGGGGGCACTGTCATAGACAGAGCGGCCGAGACTGAGGGACGCATGCAGACGAACCGAGAGTCGAATCCGTAGCCTTTGCCTTCGTAGAGGCGCAATGACGACATCCTCTCCGAAGAAACGGGCAGGAAGACTCTGTTCAAGACCCCGGTGTCGCTTACTCCCAGGTTGTTCGGCGTAGAGTTCCCTGATGACGACACCTCACCAAAGGGAACGTACGCTCTGGGCCGCAAGATCCAGTCATTCGTTTGCCGATTCAGCGAAATCACCTCTTGACTCATGTGTAGTCTCAAAGTACTATCGCGGGCATCTCCAACCAAAGACGCTAGCCCCAAGTCTGAAACCAAGAGCGTCGAAGAGAACTGGACCGCGAGAGAAGTCAGGAGCAGAATGATCACGAGCGCCGCCTGCAAGACAGACTTGCGAGCCGAGGACACAAGCAGCCATGCCAGTCTCAAAGGCCCGTCGTTCGCGCAGCGGATCATGGAGATTTCGGCAACCCTGTACAGAGGTACTCCGTGTCTTTCCAGGACGATGCCCGCGACGAGGCTTGTGTAGATTGTTGATTGTGCAGTGACTGCGCTCCGAAGAAGAACGGTTGACAGGGTGATTGCTTGTGGGATGTATTGGTCGAGCATGATCCGCCTCCAGGCGATGGAGGCAGTCCTCCCATCTTCGAAACCTTCGCCGGACCACAGGAAGAGAAGAAAGCCGAGAATTCCTAGTATGAGTGTCGTTCCACCCCCGATGATTATCATGCCGTATTGCCCCAATCCATACTGCAACCGGTGCAGGTAGCTATTAGAATAATCTTTCGTCTCGTCGATTTGGGATTTGAACGTTGCTTTTGGAGACTTCGCAAACGTCACCTTCGGAGTAGGCTGTACAGACGCCTCCGCCTGAGGGAAGAACGAGTACCCCATACTCCTAGCGCATGCTCAGCTCGAAGCTGTGCGCATGTGAAGATTGGATGGAGCTCAGATGACACCCAGCAACAGACAGCTGCCATCATCTCCAACGCTCAGAGGGTGGCCATGGATATACATAAGCATAACCAACCGCGACCAGCCGCACCCTCGTCACCCACGCGGGGGAGCTCGTTCCCGTCCCACCACAGTGTCTTGAATCAAGCAAACATGCATACTCCAAAACGGATCTCCCCGCATCACAAGAATGAACGAATGGTACGCTCTTGTCAAGTCTGCCTTGCCGTGTTAGACTCAACGACGACATGGAGCTGCTACAGGTCGGCTCCAGAGTGTCGGGGCAGGTATTGGTCAATCTGAGTTGTTGGTCCGTGAATCCCTCCGCACCTTATCGACAAACATCGTGATGCATGAATGTCAGGTGGGAACTGTTCGTCGAAAAGGGGAGTTGGAAGGACGTGCGTGGGGGAGTTGCAGGGGTTCTCTGGCAGATGGCGTCGCAGAGCGTACGGCGAAGCTCGAGATGCTTGCACCGATCCTACGCGACGGGTCTTGATACCCATGGCAAGCGAAACTCTGATACGGCAAACATGGGGATTGCGCGCTGTGATGGAAGACGGGACCAACATGATGACAATTGTGAGAATGGCGCCTGTCTGTCACATAAATGCTGGAAGAGGCAATTCGACTGAGTCGGTGTTCATTCGGTTTCGGAGACGCCAATAGTCTCAAACATACGCTACAACATTGAGTGAGGTGGTTAATAGAGCGCCAATATAGCTTTCAAACCAAATACATACTAAGCAGGGCGCTGGAAAACTGGAACGGGCAGAAAAGGAAATGGAAGATGCGGGATGAACTCAACGGCCCGCAACCAAAAATTAGACTTTGGTTCGTGTTAAGCGTGGGGCTGCACGTTAACAAAGGTAAAAAAGAAAAAGAAAACAACATGCAGCTGCCACCAGCCGGCCTGAATCAATGCAGATCGTTATCGTAACTATCGTGGAACATGAAGATCTTTGGAATGAAAATCCAAAAGACAAAAGATGAGGTCGAGCCCGGGTTCGAACCGGGGTTGCCGGAAGTTTTGATACGATCAAAATCCGGAGTGATAACCACTACACTACACAACCGAATATCGCTGCTGAACAGGCGGAGTCCTTGTTCTGTGATTGGCCGGAGAACAGAGCAGCTCATGAAGCCTTGCGACCGACGTAAAGCCGGTGGGATCGGCGCGCCTCTTGTCAGCGGCGGAAACCTCGCCGAAAATCTGCTCAAGGAAAATCACTCTCCACAACTCCCTCAGTTCATGTTGAGGCTCTTGGGGCCCGCGACCGCGAACACTGCAACCTCATCTCGCAGAGTTGTCTTGGCACTCACCTTGACGGGGCACTGGAATATTCTCCAGACACGCTGCGCCCTGAAACCAAGCAGCCGGGACGCGCCTGAAATGCGCCCTTCGTCATCTGTTTGGTGCGAATTCTCCCCATCCAGAACCTGCAATGCCATCCGCAATATCTCTCAGGAGATGGTAGGTCTTGGCAGCCCGTTGCTCCAGAGTGGCAGTGCGCCGACTTTCAATGGTCCTGCAGAGGCCTCTAGGGCGCTCTACGGCGCGTTCTGAACACAGAAATCCCCAGAAATCTCGGGGGAACAATGACTCGAGCGCCTGTGGGCGGACTTTTGACTTGCCCGCCCGCTTGGTACATCCCTGGCGGGGGCCAAACTCTATCTCAATAGAGTGAGGAAACAATCTAAGAAACTTTCTGCATCTTGATTGAAGTTGGGACGATGGGGGAATTGCTACGGTCAAGCTGCCCCTTTCCATTACAACCTTACTGATGGTTCATCCAGAGTCCGGCAGTCCCGGTTGACGAGACCGACCGGCGAATACCTCCGTATGGTGCGAGTAACCCGGTGGGAGTGATGATTGTGGACGATGCCAAGAAATCACCATGGGAATTAGGGGGGCTATATCAGATGCGTATAAAGAGTAGCATGACGCTCTGGCATCACTGACTGCTCGGTGAAGCTTTCCAAGCACGGAATTCCAACTCCAGTCTCTCTTTCGTTTGACCTCCGACATCATGGTCCGTCTGTCCAGCTTCGTCGCCTTCGCCGCGACATCCCTCGCCCCGTTCACCCAGGCCCAAGACCTGGAGATGTGTCTTGAGACGGCGGGTCTCATCACCTCGTTCCCCGAGACCAACGCCTCGTTCCCTAACGACATCCGCTCATGGCAGCGCCGCATTACCCCCACCCCGGCCGGTGTCGCCTGGCCGCGCACTACACCTGAGGTAGCCGCCGCCCTTGCCTGTGCCCGGGAGGCCAAGGTGCTTGTCGCCGCTCGTGATGGCGGCCACTGCTACGGCTCTTACAGCTTGCCTACTGCCGGCCTCACTCTCAACATGACCCATTTCCAGAACGTCAGCTATGACGATGCCACTGGCCTGCTTACCTACGGCGGCGGCGGCTTGGTGAGCCCGGTCGTCAGCTGGCTCTGGAAGGAGCACGGCGCCCGTTTCCCCCACGTCCGCGCCAACATGGTCGGACTTGCCGGCTCCTCCATCGGAGGTGGCTTCGGCTCCCTCTCCCGCATGCTCGGAACTCCCATGGACTACCTCGAGGGTGCCACGTACATGCTGTACAACGGCACCATTGCCGAGTGCTCTCGCACCAAGAACCCCGACCTCTTCTGGGCTCTCCAGGGCGCCGGCAGCTCCTACGGCATCATCCTTGACCTCACCACCAAGACCTGGAAGCCTACCTTCGAGAAGGCCATCGACTACACCATCACTCTCAACGACACCTCGCTCACCGCTGGCGTCGACGCCCTCCTCGCCATCCAGGACCACGTCATCACCGGCGCTTGGCCCGACGAGCTGACCCTCCGCTGGTCCCTCACCGCGCCGCCCTTCACCGGCTCCGGCTTCTACTGGGGCAACCCCGACGACTTCGACGCGCTGATGGCGCCCCTCATGGCCAAGCTCCCCGCCGGCACCAACCTCACCCGCAACATCAACGAGTTCTGGGCCACCGAGAACGTCGCCACCCCCTCCATCGACACCCCCGTCGACACCTACCCTCCCCGCAGCTTCTACCTCCAGGCCCTCGTCCTCCGCGCCGACCAGCCCTTCACTAAGGAGTCCGCAAGCGCGCTCTACGAGCACACCACCCTCGCCTTCAACCGCACCGACCTGACCAAGTTCGGCTTCATCGACCTCTGGGGCGGCAAGCCTGCGCGCGCCCTCAAGGACGAGGACACCTCCTTCGCCCACGCCAACAGCCTCTGGCTCATCCGCTGGGAGGGCCGTCTCGCCACCGGGCTGACCGACTTCCCCGCCGACGGCCTGACGTACCTGCAGAACGGCCTTGAGCCCTTCCGCCAGCAGTTGACCACCGAGGGAGTGCCCCTGCGCGGTTTTGTCAACTACCGCGACACCGCCTTGTCTGTCGACCAGTGGAGCGAGCGTCTGTATGGCAAGAACTACGCCAAGCTGCAGCAGCTGAAGACCGTCTATGACCCTGAGGGCATGTTCACTGCTCATCCTCAGAGCATTCCTCTTCCTGGCCAGGAGCCCCCTGCCGCGATCAACTGAGCCGGCGTGCTGAAAGCTCAGAAATTGATGTATATACTTCAGGCTTGAGACTATTATGAGTCCAGCCAAAACATATTAAGAAATTCATTGGAACTTATTAAAAAGCACGGCGTGCCTATGTTACAATCTATTTAAGCACCCAACTTCACGCAGCTAGCTTGCCTCCAGACAGTATTCTTTTCGCCGTATCCTTCATCGCATTCATCGCGACGAGATACAAACTCGGGCCCACGCTGATTCTAGCTACCCCAATTTTCCCAAGCTCATCCGTTGACAATGAATCAGGTTGATCACCCAGCTTCACCGCAACCCGTCCCGATAGGTTCCGCACAAGGACTTCAACCTCCGACGTCCGCAATCCCCGGCCCATGCCTCCCCAGTAGAAGACCGTCGTCGCTCCCGCTTCGAGGTACTTCCTGCCTCTCTCTACAGCCTCCTTCAATGCACTCTCATCGGCATTGGAGTAGTACGGTTCCAGCCGGAAGATGTCGCATCTCGCATTGATCACAAAATCAGGACACCCAGTCTCCTTTGCCGCCGCAAAAGCCCTGTTGAGGCGCTTGACCTGAGTCTCGGCATCGTATAACGACCCCTCAATGCCCTGTCCAAAACCAGCCGATGGGATGCTATCTTCGATGTTCGCGCCCACGGCTCCGAGCTCAATGACCCTCTTCACAACGGCTTCTATGTTTTCGCCGTAGCCGTCTTGGATGTCGACCGTGAGCGGAAGCCCTGCAGCCTTGACGGCGGGGGCGATTTGTGCGATAGCGGCTAGGTTTTGCTCTAGCGTGAGGTCCTCGTCTTTGATTCCCAGAATCGCCGCAATGGCCCACGAGGCCGTCGCGATCGCTTTCACGGGCTTCGAGTCGCTGGTGTTGAGGGAGAGAATGGCATTGAGGGAGGTGAGGTCCCACACATTGGAGAGAACGAGTGGCTTTGAGGGGGCATGTATCTCCTGGAACTCTTTTGCTAGATGGTTGCTCATAGTGTTTGGCGGAGCTTTGGCTGCAGCGTGGATGTCTATGAGTGTAAGGGATGGATGAAAACCACAACTTCGTGTAATGATTGAAGGTTGGATCATTGCGAACCGATGAGTTCGCGATGACTCTTCGCGGGGAGCCCCTCACAACACGCTAGTGACAAACGAAGGGCGCGCTTCACTTTCCCGACGCAAGCCGCTGCGAAACCGGCGCACTTACACGGAATCACTCGACGACGGAATCAAATCAAGCATCGGAGACGTTTTCAGGGAGGCTACCTTTTTTTGTACTTCATTCATCGTACGGATCGCCCTTCCCATGCTGGTGCTCTGTTCCCATCTTGTCGTACGGGTCCCCCGACTTGTGCCCACCGCCTACGTGATGCCCGCTCTCCTGATGCTTGTGCGGCTTGGCAACATGCAACTCATCAGAATGCAGCGCAACACCAGCCTCAGCCGCAATACTATCCAACGGATCCCTCATCAACATCATCGTCATACAGTGGTTGATATGCATCAACGTGTCATAACGCTTCTCAATCACCAGTATCCCATCTTCCCCACACGAAGCCCCATCCACCCCCCGCTCACACCGCGCCGCCTCCCACATCTTGCGCCAGTAGAAGACACAATGCACGAGGTGCCATTCGTGAGTGGTAAAGAATCGCGCATGCTGGCCTCGTCTCGCCGCCTCGGGTAGCTGACTGACTTCCTCGAGCGTCATGGGATGTGTCTGGTTCTGGTCGTGCCAGTATCCCCAGGTGTTTCCCGTCGTGTCGGGCTCATTCGGACCCAGAGACTCGAATTCTGCAGTGAGTTTGGAGGAACGGCAATGTGGTGGAAGCCATGCTGCGGCGAGGGAATCGTAGACACAGCCGTTGGAGCGTGCTTCTTTGATGGTCTCGCCGCAGTTGCATGATAGAGAGTGTTGTTTTTGGGTTGAGGGTAGGTGAGATATTAGGAGAGAGAAGAGCCCATAACCAGCCAGAATAATGACGATGGCGCGCATTGCGATGATCCACAGTCTTTCTGAAATTGAATGCGTCTGTCGAGGCTCTGGGTGTTCTCCCTCGGAGATTGGCTTCGATTCTTCATCCGCGGATAGTTGGACGTACGCCACATCCCTTGCTCTTGTCCACGGCTGAACGATCCCTCGAAACCTGCAAACAAGAGTGATTAGAAGGTGCACCCATCAAATCATTGTTATTATCGACTTACAATTTCGACATTGTGGTCAGTCGCTCAACTTCCACTGACCCAGGCTTCTTTAGTGGATGAAAGCGAACGCAGCGAAGAACGCATTTCTTTCAATCTGCGAAATGAACGAAAGCTGTATTCGGTATCGGGAATACCAACAAGGCCATACGAGATCATTGTCTTCAATCTCTTCCGAGTGGTCCCGTTCAGTTCGTTTCCCTCCGTTAAGATAAGCATCTGCAGACCTCGCCTAACGCCAGGATTCCGCCAAGACGCCGGTTCGGGTTGAAGGATTCGGCAAACTTGCCAACTCCTCAAATCTGACAACCTCTTGTCCAGAGCGAAAGGCGGACCCCCGCGCCCTAAACCAAAGGAAGAAGCTCGCATCGCAAGATCTACCAGCCTTCGGCCCGCCTCGCGGGTCGGATCTAGCACGCAATGCTGCCGATGAGTGCCGCGGGCTGATATGACGCGGCATGGTTGCACGCGCACTTTTGTCGTTGATCCATCTGCATGCAGAGAAACGTTGCTGCCTGTCTTAGGCAAGAAGATACTTGATAATAGTTTGATATGATAATGCTTGCCGTGCTTAGGATCACTAGCCCATGAAGGTTCCTGGACGATGGAATGGGAATTCTTGCCAATTTTGGCGTCCTCTTTATTTCATCCGGACGGCAATTTTGGAGGCATAGAACTGGAAAAGGAGCTTTTATTGTACATATTATTTGATATTATAAGTACTAGAGTCTAACGGAAATCGGCACTTCTTTTGTCAGAATTCAATTGCGAAAGCTTCATTTTGATTCATGGATCTGAAACGAGTGATAGTTGATATGAATGAGCGTGTTGGAGAACCACAGACCAGACCTTCCATCCCAGACCTTCTCTCAAACACCAACCTGTGTTCCATACGCGACTTGCATAGAATGACTTATGCCTTAGCATGGGCGTCCCTCTTCGGGTAAAAGGGAATAGCCTCAGCTTCGGCATCAGCAGCGCGCTTCGGGTAAAACGGAATGGCCTCCGCCTCAGCGTCGGCGCCCCTCTTAGGATAGAAGGGTATGGCCTCAGCTTCTGCGTTCGCGCCTCTCTTGGGGTAAAAAGGGATGGCCTCTGCCTCGGCATCGGTATCTCTTTTAGGGTAGAAAGGGATAGCTTCAGCCTCAGCATCCGCTCCTCTCTTGGGATAGAACGGAATTGCCTCTGCTTCGGCATCAGCCCCGCGCTTGGGGTAAAAGGGGATCGCCTCAGCTTCGGCATCAGCGCCCCTCTTGGGGTAGAAGGGAATGGCTTCGGCCTCGGCGTCAGCTCCTCTCACATCTTCAAACATCATATCAGTCAGTCTTCCTCCAGTCCAAGATGTACATGTTATTATTGAGCGAGAGCAGCATCATACCAAGAGGAGCAGCAGTAGCAAAGCCAATAACGGCCAGGATAAGATACTGAGCGCGCATTTTGAAAGCTTTCGGATTCTTTCCAAAGTGAATTTTAATGTGATTGATGATCAAGAGGAAGGTTTGAGCTGTTATGATCGCAAATTGAGATGGGAAACGAAAAGTTGACACCCCGACATCGAGGGCGGAGACATTGTCTACTACATAAGAGATTTGACGCCGACACTTACATCGCCATCTTCCTAACGGTCTCAATGGCGGTATGCGGCGCTATCTTACCGCCACCAATCGCTATCGCGTATCTAAACGCCACGAAGGATTCCTGCAGAATTGCGACTCGACGGGCATCATCACCACTTGCACCCCGAAATTAATACCAGTCGGGCGTTCGGTTCCGCAAGACTCCGCATGCAGACCAGAAGTAGAAGGTTGCAACGGAAAACATGCAGCTTCATGGAGCTTGACGGCGTGAACGACGCCCACTGGATTTGCCCGTTGTGCCGAGCTTCCAGAACGGGAGCGCAGGATTAAGTGGTGGGGCAGCAGGATCCGGATTATCGCGGCTAAGCATCATCTAGGATGAATGCATCAACGTCGGGGCCTTGCTTGTTGCGTATATCGTAGAGAAGTAGAGGAAAACTCTTCTTTGCAACTTCATTTGTATTCATGACAGTATGTGCTTCTTTCGGGTAGGAAGCTACGCCCCGTAACTCTTTCTTGTGCCTACGCTCATGTCTCATCCAACTCCTCTCTTCATATATGCCACTTTATATTTAACACATTTTATCAATGATGGAACATCACGTGAGGCCGTCGACAGATTCTCGAGGGATGGTAGACGAAGAGTCCTCTTTGAGTAGCCATGACGACTCGGGCGACCTGGAAAAGGCTCTGCTTTCAGTGGAACAGTCTTCAAAGAGAGACGTCAGCCAAAGCGGAGCTCATCTCCTGTTACGGCCGTCGACATGGCTGACAGTCTTCAATATTGGGGTATTTGTCGCGTCATGCATCGTTTGGTCAGGTGCATTATCAAAGCAAACCCTCAAGGATCAGGACTTCTGGAAAGCAACATCATTCTATTGTAAGCTGATGATCATGAGCCTTCAACTCGAGATGTTATTTTGTTGATGAAGAAAAAGCTCCCATTCTGGAAAGATTCGAAATTCCCAAAATTACACGAGTCACCAACGGCACACTGTACGACACAAGTCCGCCGTCTATCCTTCGCCAACGTATCGGAAAGGAAGCGGACGATGAATGGCACCGCATCGGTGATCACGTATGGCCACTGGTAATTGGGGCGGAAGACGTCCGCCGGCTAGGAAAAGACCCAGCCGTCGCGGTAAAGATCCCAGACGATCTCGGCTACGGCTCGGACGCCTACATTGCTCAGACAGAGGTCTTTCATCACCTGCACTGTGTCGACATGCTGAGGAGGGAGGTCTCCTACGAGCATTACTACGAGGAAAAGGAAGGGCCGAAGCCAGGAGGAGCACAGCATCAAGCACACATCGGCCACTGCTTCGACATACTTGCCCAGGCAATCAAGTGCACGGGTAGTGTTGACATGATCACGTTCAACTGGGTAGAGAACTGGGACCAGCCGTTCCCGGATTTCATGAACCACAAAGTCTGCCGAAACTTTGATGTGTTGTTGGACTGGGTGAACGATAACTCAATGGACCCGGAAGTATTCCAGAAAATGAAGACCCCTTCTCCGGGATGGCCGGTGCTGCCAGAGCCAGGTACAGCCCGATGAATGAGGACAAATAGAATGTGATAGGAGCTCATAGCTTCCGTAGCCACGTAGAGACTGTAGCAGTTGTACAGAAGAACGTGGTGGTGACATCATGCGTCAATCAAGCCCATTTGTGTCCTTGTGCAATGTGATATGGATTTCCCAGACCAGACTCTCCATGCGAACAACACATGGTCTCAAGTGTGGAGTCACACAGTTCCTTGCATCCGTGCCGTGGGCCGATGGGGCAAACAAATCAAGCATCTAGACTCGAACTCCAGCCCTACGCACAAAACGTGGTCTGATATTCGGGGCGACGAGTGCTATCTATGTGTAAGATGTTACGGCAGCAGTGGTGTACTAAACTTCCCCAGATAAGTCTATAGCGGCTGCCAGCGATGCTGCTTTTCAATGAGTACAGCCGACAACTTTGGGAAGCAAAATTTCGCCACCCTCAAAGCCTGAAGATGCGGCCATATCCATGGATGTAAGTGCTACCAAGTTCCCGGCTTTCCAGATCATGTGGGCTTGTCGAAAGGCTGTTATAGGCGACTTGCAGACTATGTGGGACGCATTGTAACTTGAGATCGGGCATCCCGTCAGTCGCACACAACGCGAAGCAAACACAGAAGTCGAGTCTCAACACGTTCGCGACTATAAGACATTGATAGTTGGCTTCAACATGTTCAGGAAAGAGGCAGATCATCCGCTAAGACCTGAAGACATTTGAGGCCACTGAAACATACGAAAATACCTTCAGTCTTCGCATTGGAAAACTGGAGTAGTTTCCCTCCGTGGATCGTGAGGTATGCAAGCGTTGTCACGAGCTCTGTGTCAATCTAGTAGTTAATCATTCCCAGTCCAACGAAATCAAAGTAATTACTGTCGTCAGCTATGAAGGCCTCTTTGTTTATATCAGTTGCGTCACTCGCGCATACAGCATTGGCTGTTTACTGCGAAGCATCAGCGTACCTCGGCACAGGTCAAGTCGGCAGATGCACCGGTCAACATTTAAGTAGGGCAAACCAGACACACCCTGGAACGAGCCGCTGTTTTCCAGCAACGAATGGAGCTTGCGGGATCGTCGCAGATCAGGAGGGTGGTTGCAATTGCACGATCAACTTCTTCTCTGGCGGCGACTGCAATAGGACTTCAGTTGGGCAGTTGTCTTGTCACAACATTGGTGCTGTGAAACAGATCAACTTTGACCACTTCAACATTCGCTGTTAGACGTGTTTTCAGTCTTTGGAGAGGTCTATAAAGAGCCCAGAGCAGGGGTTTAGGACCGACAAGTTTGGTATCTACTTGGTTATGGACGGTCCTTCAAAAAATATGTATTTGACGAGTCAATTTATTTTTGAGTCGCACTCGGACTGTTGAAAGAAGCCCCAGGGGCCTGCCACTGTATGATCATACTCGCGCGGGAACTTTATAGCTTCTAGCTCAGTGAACAATTCTTAGCTGTGGTTATTAAACGTATATGGATCTCGCAGTGCGTTGTATTGCCCATCGAGACTCTCCTCTTCTTCAGTATCGTAGCCGGTCAAACTGGCCCTGGCTTTCGCTTGCAGTTCTTCGATCCCCTGGGTCTGGCGGTGCTATGGAGTGGATCCAGTGTCTTGAGGGTGGTCTTGTGACGGAGCGCAAAGCATTTGATCAATACACTAAAAAGAAATGAGCTGAAAAAAAGTTCCATTGGGACAACGGGGTGGTTTGAATGCACCCCAGCATCCCTGAAAGGCTTGCGTCATTGAAGCCACCGCTGTGGGGGTCGTTAGCTCTTAAGGTTCAAAAGTGCTCACTCGCCCAGTGGTCTTGTTTCCCTACTTCGGTGCTTCTACTTCAACCAGCACCCCAATAAATATCAGGAGAAACAACTTACGCCTAGAGTTGTAAAAATTGCAGCTGTATTATTTTGTTGACCGCCAAAAACAACTTGGCCAGCAAATCCCATATCACAATATGCCTCCTCCACCGGACCCAGATAATGCCGAAGTGGCGTTGGACGGCGGGCACAGCTCCGCAGAAGAGCATTACAAGGAGATCACCAGGCAGCACGCCGACCGCACGTGCGAGCTGCGCGACGAGGAAAAACCGGTCGAGCCGGCCCGCGAGCGTGAGAGGACGATCCTCGAACAGGAATACGAGAAGGCCCGCCGGAGGAAGCTATCTCAGATCGAAACGGCTATCAGTGACATTCACAGCCAGTCCCCGGGTCAGCCTCGGGAGACTCTAACCGTCAAGAGCCTCAGAGATAACAGCTACGACCTCATCTCCGTCATCGCGCTTCCGAACGAGCATCTTTCCATGATCATGTTCGGCAGTTCTCTCAGTCTAGAAAGAGGTAGCCCTTAGAAACGGACGCACATCCCAACACTGGATGCCTGGTTGGTGCTGGGCAACATGGTCATGTCTGGTACGCCAGACAGGACTTTCCCTGGTCCCGATGAGGCGGGCAAGATGACAGTTCCAATGAATAAATACCACGACTTGGAGGTCACGTTCCACAGCGTGGACTAACTACATCGAGGTCAAGGTTCCGGCCGGTGCTGTCCGCCGGTATCGAGAATGTTTACCTGAAAGCGAAGGAGGCTTGTATCGCGATACCGGGCAGTATCAAAAAGGCGACCCCGCCGATGGGAAATCTGGTCCGCGTGAATATCTGACCTTTTATGGAGTCAGGCGTACTCCGGAACGAGATAGGGAGAACCGAACCGAAAGACAACGGCTGCAAGAATACCGCCGGCCGCCGACGCCGCCGTCTCCCCGAGAGACTTGGTTCGAGCGAAACCATCCTATGGGCGAATTCTACGACAGCAGGTACAGCGAGGAGTGATGATAATTTGGGAGTTGCAATTTTCTAAGCTTTCAAGACGGAAAGAACAGGGCCTTACTATGTTGGCTGCGGTCTTATTAGCACCTTAAGAGAATCATACGAAACATGGAGACAGTCTTCCTCATCTCAAGTTGGTATTCTCAACACAGAAGTGTCGTTGAAACATCAAGCGACGTTCAAGATTAGTCAATTGTGTGCTGCTGTGCTTCGTGCTGTGCGATACCGTCCGGGAGTGCGCTGCATTAAAGTTCCGTCTTGGTAATTCTCGACAAACCAACCACTTATTATATGACAATGGGTCTGGTCGAAATTTCTTTACCTCGCGTGGCGGCGAGCTCATCGAGGTTGTCAGCCCGGTAGACATCCTGATCTCCGCCACTCTCCACAACCGAGTCAGAATGGGCGCCACACAACCACTTATTTAAGAAGTTCATCGGATGAAGAAATATTTCCAAGAGTTATCCAATAGTTGTGGTTCATCGTAGGCGTCTGCTGAATACCTATTCTGCTACCAAAAGACCATCATAAGGGCAAAACACCAAAAGAAACCGACGAAGACAAGATTCGAACTTGCGCGGCCGAAGCCAATTGATATCGGGGGTAATTCGAGTCAATCCCATTCACCACTCTGGCACTTCGCCGTGGAAACTGTAGCCCTTATCGCAAAATATCAATCCCGCATCGTTGTGAGCCGCATGTAGCCGAAGGGTTCTGCCTTGGCCCACCCAAGACGCGATGGCCATACAACAACGTGACAATCCCTCAGAACGACGCACACACGTAGGTAATCATGAGCTGAATGAACCTGCTTTAAATTCAGTACGCAGGCCCTTCGCTTTGCTTCTGCGTAAATTCAGATGGCATGCATCTCTGTTGGGTTGTCTCTTGTTTTGGTGTTTTCTTCTGCGTGTTACATACAAACCCCGCATCAGAGACTTTAGTGCATTTTGAGGGCACATTCCAGGGCAATGGCCTTCTAATCGCGGGGTATGTGCGTGCTTGTTTCCTTCCCTATTGACTGCCTGGTTGACTCACGCGATGCAACCGTAATCGGATTGTTTGACCGCTCCAGCTCAGCATGAGGCTGCCCGGCACTGAACTTTCCAAAATGGCTGCAGTACCCGCTGCCCAAACCAAAAGCAGCAGCTCCTTGCGCCGAGGGTGAATTCATACGTGGACAAAGAAGCGCATTGTCCACATCATCACAACATCAAACTCTCGTTCAAGTTCACCATCTTGTAACTCAATCATCCGTGTCTTCATCAAGATCCAGGCCGGGACGAGAGCCTATCGTTGTCATATCCACCGCCGTTGTCAGCCGCCAGTCACTACCGCCCAAAATGCCGCTGAAAATGCGCCCCGCAACAACCGCGGACGGGCCGGCCCTAACCGCCGTCTATCTGTCCGCTTTCAGCGACAACCCCGTCGCCGCAACGTGCTTTCCAGCAAGCTCGCAAGAGTGTCGCGACTTTCTCCTCAAAGCCTTCGCTGATGAAGCGACAGACCCGCGCTGTAGCGTGTTCGTCGTCACGGACCCCGACCACGTGGAGGACCCGGAGCTGGTCATTGCCTGGGCGAAATGGGTGCATCCAGCCAAGGACGGCGAAGTGAATGTGGAGCCACCACCGCCACAAGACATTTGGCCCAAGCAGGGCAACCCGGACTTTGCAAACGAGTTCTTCGGTGGTATTGGAAGGAAGCATGCGGCCATCCTTGGCGATGTGAGACACTGGTATCTCGAACTCATTGTTTGTCGCAAAGAACACCAAGGGAAGGGCGCGGCAACGCCATTGCTGCGATGGGGATGTGAGAAGGCTGATGAGGGGGGCTCGATAGCTTTTCTGGAGTCTATGTCCAAGGCAAAGGCGGTCTATGAGAAGTACGGGTTTGAGCCGGTGGACTACATGGAGTTCAGGACGCCCAGCGGAATCGTTGTCACCCAGGACTTTATGTTGAGGAAAGGAAGGGCGGTGGAAGATTATGAACAGGTCATCGCGAACATAAGAAGCCTCAAGTAGACACTGCATTACTCATAGCTTTGTAATCCAGGCCGTTTCCACACACGCGCTTGTAATCCGCATATCCTGAGCTAAAGCGATTGTCTTATATTTCCTATGTGTTCGCTTTCGTCGTTACCGTCGCCGTCGTTCATCCTTGTTATCATTATCACTACCCCTTTCGTTTTCTCTACTACTATCGTCCTTATAGAAATACTAGGTACATGTCCATTGCGCTTACAGAGGACAATATCTGGCTAGCAAACCTCTATCCCCATCATTAAGCTTATTGGATAGATTCTAACTGTACTCTCAAGCTTTTGTAATGGACAAGTAATACACCTCTTATTTGAATATCTATTTAATATGCCTAGCCCAAGTCTCATGCGTAACGCCTCTCCTTTTCCTGCCAACTCAAAGGCATGGCCTCTCCAACTGTTCCGAATGTGACATAGCCAGTTTCTTCCGTAGGCCTGATATCGCCAACACAAACACGGAGGCTTTTCGTCCTTTTAACCTGACTGATTCCGTCTTCCAGTGAGTTCCGTTGGGCCACATTCACGTGTGGACTGTCCCTTAGAAAGAACGTAGCACGATCTAGGACGTCAGGACCCCGCCTTAGACAGCCAAAAACGCTAGCGGCTACACCTGAAGCTAGCATAACAGCTGAGGCAATGAACAGTGTTGAAATCCAAAGCCCATTAACCCGCATTACTAACCGATCTGGCGTTCTTGTACCCGACACGTTTTGAACGATGGTGTTCTCAACTCCTAGAAGCATCCTGTGCGTCTGAAAGTTGAAGTTCCCTGGTATATTTAGAGACGCCACCGAAGAAAGCCAGAATGTGTTGAGAAGCTGAGAAAGTCTTTGAGAGAACACCACATCCCCGACTTCGTAGATGTCCGTTCCATTCCAATTACCGATACCTGGAGCAGAAAAGGGGGCATTCGGATGGGTGAAGTAGGTCTCTAATGGTGAAGGGAATGGCTTGTACATTCCCATGCCCTGGGCCTCCCATGGTGTTTGGGTAACTCATACGAGGGTTTCCATGAATGCGTTAAGAACTCCCGCCGGCACGAGTTTCTGGGACCCTTCTGCTGCAATGCCATCCAATACCGTTCTCACTGTCATGTTCTCCGGCTTCTCAGTTCGTCTAATGCGACGAGAGCCACAAACAGGTCCTTGGCAAGTCACGTCAACTTCGGCATGCGTCGTTGTGATAACACACGTAGCATTGGTGGTTATTTCGTTCGGTAAGTAGTAAGCTTCGAGTATGAGATCCGTGGGTGTTTTGCTGAATATGTTGCGAACTCCGGCGGGCCTGATGATGAGAATCCTGCCAGTGTTGTACAGCCCAGTTTTGTTCATGTATTTGGACCAGTTTCCGAGGTTCATTGCTTGTCCGCGGCGTACTGAGCAGTCTGCGTTCATATAGGAAGTATTCATGGTGAAAGAATAGTTCTGCCCCCGAGAGAAGCCACCCTGTGTTGCAACAGGAATGCCCATAATCGCAGACCAAATCATATCAGACCCATTAAGGCCGATATTATACCAGCCCTCGGGATCGGCTGTCGTTGTCGGTGGATAGTGTTCAAGCATCGGAATCTTGACGTTCCCGAACGCATCTCGAAGCCCTACTTTGACTTCCTCGGAACTAGATAGAGCTGAGATGAAGGTCCCTTGAATCGAGGGCATCAGACTAGATCCGGCTGAGCTCACAGGACTCGAATGTGGAAAGACGGACATGAACTCGAGATATTCAAATGGATACGGCTCCGATACTTGTGAAGAGATCATCTCCATTATACGCAGAGCGGCCTGGCCGCCTAGAGGCGACATGGCCCAGAGAGCGACAAGGAACGGTACCAGGATGTTTGCACGCCGTAAAGTAAAAGGTGTCGTTACTGCACTGAAGACGGTGCGGCAGCTAAGCAGGTACTCGAGACTCAGAACCGTGACGCCTCGCTCCATCTTCCAGCCGGCTGCAGCTTTCAGCAAATTCGCAGCAACAGCGGCAAAGGCGATAGGAAAGATGGTCGGGCTATACGTCGCGGCCATGCGTAAGGCTGGAACCGGGTCCTCATCAATCGGCTTGCCATTATTCTGGAGAGCCATCATTCCGTAAACGATGAAACATATCGAAGGTATGATGAGGAGGGCATCAAGGAGAAATTGCTGGATCGCGCCGGGAGAGTTCCTTCTCCTGACGCCGTGGGAATCCTCTAGAGCGGCGATTTCGGTGTTCTTGTCGGAGCTGTTTTCGCTCATGAGGCTTTCGCCGGCGTCGTTCTCATTGTTTTGCGACGCGACTCGTTGTCTGTCGAGACTTGGCCCCCTGGGGAAACTAGAATCGTCTGAGATGTTGGACATGATGCGTCACTTTGAGAGGATAATGCATAGAACCAAATCTGTAACGTAACAAGCGCTAGCATTAACGGATAAAGCTACGATGGGTGAAAACGTAAGAAGTTTAGGTGAAATGGTGTTATGGTTTGAGATTGATGGCGCGGTGGAAAAGAGGGGTACTCTCTGGTAGTAATGCGTTATGTACCGCAATCAGAAACATGCTGTGCCTTATGCTGTGCCTCATTCGGACTGAATGTCTGACAGGGGAAGTGCATTTCTACCTTGCATTCTTATGTTGGTTATGCTTGGCAGCTGAGTCTTCTGCGGGGCCCAGAATTCGCCTCGGGGCGCAATGTATCTTCACACATACATTACGCTGAGAAACCGGATAGGTACCTAAGATAACTACTGGTAAGGTAAGTGCCATTATGACCATAGACTTCGGTAGTAGATGTATTCCTGGCAACGCGTACTGGCACCGAATTCAGCTCTACGCAATTACCACTTTAGTGCAGCACCTGACACGACAGCTTCAAATTGAGTTTTCCCGTCTGGGCGGATATTTTTCGCTAGCCGGGCGGGCAGTGAGCATAGACGACGATAGACATAGAGTGAGGCGTAGAAACGGTGATTACAGGAATAATTAGGAGAATATGAACGATGGTGATATTAAAACTGTTGAAACAAAACGGACAGTTGAATCTTATTCAGGTACCAAATTATTCGCCCTGTTGTTTAGAAGTATCCGCCCTGGGAGCAAAACTCTTCTGATTTTCTATTCCGTGGGAGTGACAATACTACCTGTGATACGCATGGCTTCCAGGACACCCATGCTTACCGCGTAAATTGCCATAATAAAGCCAAGTCCAAGGATACAGCCTCAGCTCCTGCAAGCCACTGTGATAGATACTCATGGCAGGCTCCCAGCAGGCTTTGGCGGGTGTTTGACGAAATAGACCCTTAAACAGGCCAGTTGGCCCTCCAACTCCTTTGAATCGTTACAATGCTACCCATCCATGGATTTATATTCACATACCGACGGTCCGGAGAAGACAAAAGAATGGTTAGATCCCTCAGCGTGATGTAATATGGTGTATACTTAATGCTCTCACACTACTGAAACATTTATATTCAAAATAGGACGCCCAGCAGGCAATAGGTCTGGTTGCGCTGTTATCGACGGACCTTTATATCAAGTCCAACTACTGCTGGTGAGGCAACAGACGATCCAAACAGTCGTGCGTATTTATATCGGCTGACCAGAGGGAAGACCTTGCGCCAAGGCCAACAAGTTGGACACAGTCCCCACACTAGCTGGCTCCCGAGTGAAGCTCTCATTGTAGCCCCATTGCGTGATGTACAAACTGTGCACACCCTGCGCAACAATGGCGTTGATGTCGGTCTGCAAAGTGGACAGCGTAGCAGGCTGGTACGGCTCCCAGTCATCATAGAAGTCATGAACGACTATAGCAGACTTGGCCTTCTGTGCTGCTCCAGACGGCAGAGCACTCAATGATGCAGGCGTGAAGGGGGTATAAGTGCCACTTGGGCATCGGTCTTGCGGCGCATTCGGATCGCTGGTGTAGCAAGTCTCGATCGACAAGATGGCATCGGCGACGTCATAGAGCGAGTAGCTGGCGGTATTGACCGGAACACCAGGGTTCAAGACGACGATACCAGTTTCAGCCTTCGCGTAGTTTGACACTTGTGTGTAGTAGTCGAGTTGCGCCGGGTCGGTGTTGACTTCATCAAAGAAGATGCCATCGATGTGAATGTCATACGAGACGCCATCCCAACCATCTGCCGTCGTCCAAGCAGCGTAGGTGTCGACACCTTGCTTGACAATCGAGATATCACGAGGGTTGACCTGTACGGTTCCAAGGGTCGAGATGTAGCCCAAGGTCACGGTGTTGGGGCGCTGGTTGATTTGGCCGATCCACTTGGCCCAGTCGATCTTGATACCGGCTTCGCTGGCGAAAGGCGGGCCGCTAAGTGGATTGATGATGACATTGAAAGTCAGATCCGGATGGGCGTCGATGGCTGCGATGGCGGCTGTCCAGTCGACGGTGCCGTCGTATGGCTTCACGAGGTCGTTGATGGGGTAGACATATAGAGGTAGGAGGATATCGACGGCAGCTCTTGCGGAGGCCACGAGGGCGGCCAATGACAGGAGAGACCTCATTGCTTAAGACTTGATTGAGATAATGAAAGTGTCAATGGCATTGCCCAATCACTAAAACTATTCACAGTCCGAGAGATTCGGACTTTTATAGTCTGAGGTGACTAGGCAACAGCTTTCTGCAATGGTCAGCTTCACGCTTCATTACTTGGCTAGAGCGGGCTAGAACAGCTCCCTGTAAGTGTGGACTGATGATTTGACACACCCTCGGCTGGGTGTCTGAGACTCCCGCTTGGCCTAGCGAAAGTTGCACGCCTCGTGATGTGAAGTCTCAACTGCTTGATGTCATTTGATCTACTCACTATGTAGCCCCAATCAATTGTTTGAAGTAATTCCATCATTACACGAAACTTTTGAGAGCGCAACACACAGACTTCAGGTTGCTGAGACTTGTCAGGGGTGATGAATAGGCGAGGTTGAGACTAGTATCTCGTAACCAAAGGACTTCCTTCATGAGTCCATACAATAATTACCTTTCGGGTTTGCCCCACACACTGAAGATGATGTGCTAAAAAAGAAGGCGAGAACACAAGACCGGGCCGATGGATGCGAGTTGGGCTAGCTGATGTGAGATTCGAGCCAATATTGGCCAGATCTGGAAGCTGCCGAGAACTTGGTGGCAAATCGGCACTAGACGTCAAGTAAGCCAAAGATGATGAGGAGAGCTCTTTCACCTCAAAAGAATTAGATTGAACATGTTCGTCTGTTATGTTGTCCCGTCTGATGATCAAGGAATCGAACCGGTCGCACATACTCCTAAAATGGGTGTATGACCCAAACAGTTCATATAAGCCAGATCTGATGTTGGGTGAAAGACATGGCGTGCAGCGCTCTGATGCCTGGTCCATCCTGCCTGGTTGTATTACAGCGGGGTTCACTGTGGATAGAAAGTAAGTCGCCAGAGTACTATGATGGCAATGGGCATGCGACTTGATGAGTGCAATAATCACGACAGCGTGTATGTGAAAACATCTAGCGGGTTAGAAGATACCATGCAGCTATCAACCAAGATGCAAAGCCGGATACGGACACAAAAGCCCAGCCCGTGCCGACACCGCACTCTCTCGGGAAAAATCGCTACCAAAGGTGGTCATGTGGCATCATGACAGACCCGCATGACAACATCTTGGTGAGAGTCGAAATGACCCGCCCAAGATACTCTTAACAATATCTCAGCTCTTTTGAATTATACAACCACAATATGTGGCGCAAAACAGGACGGGTCGCGGGAGTAAGATCTTCACAAGCGGGTCGGCGCCTGTGGCTGCCGTCCCGACACGTCAAGATCGGGGTCTCGGGGCCCGTAGTGTCCGCGTTATGCAAATGTGACCCGCTTTCCCGAGGCGCCGTCATGGAGAAAGTCTCCGATGACATGCCGAAGGATTCTGCTGGGAGGGAACGCCTCTGTAGGTTCAATTACGTCAAAAGCAACTTTCAAGATGAGCAGGTCTGAACCAGGGCACCGTTGCTACAGATCAGTAAATCGACCGAACACGAGTCCCACCCAGATCAAACTGGGCCCTGAACATCGCTGATAACCCATCTTGCCCACATTCACTGAGTTCAATAGTGGGTTTTCTCCGAGAGCAGTGGCATCTGTCGCATTTGGTGCTGGATGCTCGTTGCAATCGCTAAAATGCTGCATCGATCTGCTTGAAAACAGTTGTTCTGACCCCCGTTTGACAGCCCTGGGAGACGGACTTCACCCACCTTCAATCCCGGGTACTGACATACATGGATTCCCGGGCTTTGATCTCGTAGCAGCCGGACCAGCAATGACGATCCAAACCCGGGTTCATTCTTATGTAGCAGAAAGGCATTTCACCGTTCTTCGTCGGACAGAGTCGGGGGCAAAAAAAAAAAAATTGAACGCACTGCCTTGAGTCTCCAAGGTTCTTCGTGTAATAGCCGCAATATTCCTCCGAGCGGGAGGCCGTCAGTGCGAAGACGACCCCCGTGAGACGGATTCCTTTCAAGGCCCGTCGAGTTCCCAGCCAAGATGGAGTCGTAACGCTAGCACGAAACTCTGGACAAAGTAATTTGGTGCCGAGCTTCAGTGGAGATGGCAGATCACAGCGCAGCTTTATAAAACCCTCCGCCGGCGACAATGCCATTCATCACAGTCGCCTCCAGTTCATGTTCCTTCAGCATTCAACAACTAATCAACATCCATCTTATTTCAGCAATAACCACAACATGGCCAGCGAGCCTTTCAAAGCGATCATCATCGGCGGAGGCCCTAGTGGCATCACCGCCGCACACGCCTTCTACCATGCCGGCATCGATTTCGTCGTCCTCGAGAGGCGGACAAACATCGTAGAAGATCTTGGCGCAAGTCTCGTCCTCGGTCCTACGAGCATGCGCGTCTTCCACCAGCTCGGCATTCTAGACAAGCTCATGGAAATCGGCATGCTCCTGGACGACAACAAAGGCTTCACTACCGACGGTTTCAATTTCAAGCAGTCCTCCGCCTTTGACCTTCTGAAGGAGCAGTACGTCGTCCAAATTTAACCGTCTCATCGACGCCAGCAAGCCTACTGACACCCGCCACAGCCACGGCACAACGCCCCTCGCGTTCCACAGGGCGCATCTCATCCAGGCCCTCTACGACACCCTTCCCGAGGACGCCAAAACACGCTACCACACCGGCAAGAAGCTCGCCAAAATCACCACCACCGACACCGGCGTCATCGTCAATTGCGAAGACGGCTCTTCCTACGCGGGCTCCGTGGTCATCGGCGCCGACGGCGTGCACTCCGCCACCCGCCGCCAAATGCGCCGCCTCGCCCTTGAAGAAGACCCGGCCCGCGAATGGGACCCCGAGAAGCCGTACGAGACCAACTACCGCTGCATGTGGGCGTCGTTCCCGCGTCCCACCGCCGCCGGCCAGAGCTACGAGACGCAGGGCGTAGATCAGTCCGTGATGTACATCACCGGCAAGGAAAGGGGCTGGATCTTCTGCTACGAGAAATTGCCTGAGCCGACGAAGGAGCGCATCTCGTTTACCGAAAAGGAGCTCGAGGAGTATGGCGCCCGGTTTGCGGAATGGCCCATTACCGGCACCCTGAAAGTCAAGGATGTGTTCAAGGAGCGCTACAACGCGGGCGGTGCCGGCCTCGAGGAGGGCATCTGCAAGCACTGGAGCTTTAAAGGCCGGATTGTGCTCGTGGGAGATGCGGCGCATAAGTTTACGCCGAATGCCGGCCTGGGGTTCAACAACGGCGTGCAGGACGTCGTCGCAGTCTGCAACGGCCTGCGCAAACTCATTGCCGAGTCCAACGGAACCCCTGGATTTGACGCATTGGAGAGCTTGTTTGAAGAGTACAAGACCGACAGGATGGAGGGACTGGAGAAGGACCTGGGACAGTCTGCGCGCCTGACGAGACTGCACGCATGGGCTACAACGAAGGACTGGTTCATGGCGAGGTACATCTTGTCCTGGGGCTTCATGCAGAGGATTCTCTTGGCCTACATTGTGTCCCCAGCGATACAAAAGGCTAAGGTTTTCGACTTTATCGCGGCGTCGGAGCCGTTCGAGCCGGGCTCGTTCAAGTGGCTGCATCCGCTGCTGAACACCGTTTCCAAGAACCGGGCGCTCTGATCTACTTCTCTTTTGTTGTTCAAATGAGCATTTGCAGCGGGTAGCGACGGATAGACATGATTTGCATTATTAGATGTACCATCACTCTTCTCTAATTTGACCAAACATATTTTTCGTTCGATTGTTGTTTTGGCACCAAAGCTGGACGCTCTAGATTAGACGAGATTTGACGTTGGAAGAGAGTCCGATCTGCTGGTGAGTAGGAAATTTGAGTGCTGACATGACCCATCACTACAGCAGGAGCCCCAGGGTGTTTAGCAGGTGGCCCTCCCCGATCGTCGATGACTCAGTGAAGTAGAGATCACTTACACAACCTACGAATGTTAAAACCGACTTTGCTTCAGGAGCTGGTCAGAAAGATTAAGCCATTGATCCCTCAATCTTAGATACTATGCGGTTGTTTCTGTTAGGGAAGCTGTTGTAGTATATTCGTCGGCCTCGGCCTACATCATCGGGCAACAGCTAACGGACGCACCTAAACGTCTTCATCAATACCTACCTTACCTTGCGCATGTAAGTCAGCCCTCATAGGCATGTCAAGTTCAACCTCATTCTGAACATGCGTGCTCGCCAAACAGTCCCATTTTGAGGCCTCACATTCCTAGCCCCAGGCAAAGCCTTTTGTACACAGAAACCCCATTCCTCTTCCCTTCTAACTTTGATTCTCACAGTTTGCCCCCTGTGGGCGCACCTTTTTGACTCCCGTATGCGTATGCGAGGGCCAGGATGGCTCACAGAGAAACCTTCATTATGGCCACACACAGAAACCCCATTTCACGGTCCCAACTAGCAACATTTTCAACAACAACTCTATCCACCTTCCATCTCGGATCATACCGATTGCGGCATGCATGCAGTTCTTACCGTAGCCCTCGTGGGCGCAAGGATAAGTACCAAATTATCCTACCCAAGGGCCTGGGGAAATGGTTCGTCCAAAATGTGACAACGATCAGCGCCCCGGAGGCTGTGCAGGGCAACAACGGTCAGCCACCAGCATGTCCCAAGCCCGGACGAACCGCCGATGAACCTGAACGGGCCGCCAAGTCCAGGGCCCATTGGCCGAGCAAGGGGCGTTCGTCAGCATTCAGGCCACCCTCATGGCCTTGGAAGGACCCCAAGAAGCCCGGAATGCGTCATCCTACGTTCTCACGACCCGATTGACTGGATGAGAGAAGCCAAGGGTGCAAAACCTGGTTGGAACGCTGCATCGTCGATTCGCAGAGGATTTTGCAGATGCTGATCAAGAGCTTTAATATCTAGATAATCGCAATGCTGAATCTTTGGATCCCTCTGCAGCTCTCTCACGTACACCCGCGCGAAATCCAGTTGTTGCTGCACCACCACTAGTGAAGAATAACACGATATTGGCATCTCAAGGCTTCACCATGCATCTCACAATAGTCACCCCGGCCCTGCTCTTCTTCCATCTCTCATCCGCCCAGACCGTCGTGGTAACAACCGTTGCCCCGGCCCGGCCGACCGCGATCCCGGAGTGGAACTCAGACGACACCTTCACCTCCGCCGTGCTCAACAGCACCAACCACTACCGCGAGCAGCACAACGCCTCGGACGTGTCGTGGAATGAGACGCTCGCCGACTTCGCGGTCGACTACCTGCGCGGCATGGACGACTGCGACTTTGAGCACTCGGGCGGGCCGTACGGCGAGAACCTGGCGATGGGGTACGCCAACGTGACGCAGAGCGTCGAGGCGTGGGGCGAGGAGCGCGACGACTACGACTTTGACGACGCCGAGTTCAGCGAGGAGACGGGCCACTTTACGCAGCTCGTGTGGAAGGATACGACGGACGTCGGGTGTGCGAGGAAGCGGTGCGAGGATGATGCGTGGTATTTGGTGTGCGAGTACTGGCCGAGGGGGAACGTCGTCGGGCAGTTTGCAGAGGAGGTGCAGGAAGAGGAGAGCCTTGGGAGAAGGAATTCGCCGGCGATGTTGGCGCTGTTCGTGGCTTGTGCTTTTACTATGTGGATGACGGCATAGAAATCATTCGTTTGAATGAATGATTATGTGGTGTGGGTTGAGGGGGGAGGAAGAACGGTGGCGAGATAAATGAGGCCATCGACATCACGGAGCTAAGCCATTTTGGGCAACTGCATCATTCTCCAACCATCTTTTGCTAGGTCGACCTGTACCTACTATCGCTTTTATATACCCACTGTGTTCTGAAATTCATCAAGAATTAATTTCCTAATAAACAGTTGAGATGGTGTTTAGGGGGCCGGAAATTGAAAATGTCTCGGGTCTATGTCTGCATATAAGTCCAAGTCCTTAGGATCTGTCCTCCGCGACGAACCCTTCCCAGGTCTTCATGTATTTCACAAAGCTGTCGCTCAATCCTTGAGCCTTGAGGTATGCCTCACTAACTGGCAATGACGGTGACCGATGTTCTGAGTTCTCCTCCAATCGCTTTGGGAAGTCGTGCTCAAGGATGGCCGCCCTGCCGAACATGACAAAGTCGCAGCCCCCCTCCATGACAGCAGCGGCCTCTTCAAGATCCATTACCTTACCAGAGGCGCCAATGCACACGGAAGATCGAGGGAGATCCATGAAGATACTCAAAAAAAAGTCTTCCCTTGAAAGGGTGCCTCTTGGGTCACCTTCGTCCAGTCCCAGACAGCCAGATCCAAGTAGTCAACCTCCTCTTCCCGGACTGCCTTGGCAAGCACCTCGTACATCTCTGTCAATGGCACGCCATATCGCTCGAGAGATACGCGCAGACCTTTCTGGAAGTCCGGCTTGCAGTTTCGACGGATGCCTCTGATGACTTCGAAGAGAAACCGCGATCGGTTCTCGAGAGAGCCTCCGTACTTGTCTGTTCGGTGGTTGAAGAGAGGCGAGAGGAACTGCATGGGAATCCAGCCAAAGGCCGAGTGCACCTCGACGCCATCGTAGCCTGCAGCTTCAGCTCGCTGCGCTGCTACTATGAAGTCGTCTCGAACAGCCTCAACCTCTTTCAGCGACAAACCCCTGACGCCGCTGTCTGGGATATCCGATGGCCCGACGATGTCCTTGACAAACTCAGGATTGGATCTCAGACCTGCGTGATGAATTTGGACCGAAGACAAAGTCCCATGCTTTCTGATGACGTCGGCCACGCGCCGAAGACCCTCGAGGTGATGGTCGCTATAGATGCCCATCTGGCCCGGGGAGGCTTTGCCGTAAGGGTGGATGTTGGCTGCGCAGGTCATAACCATGGAGAATCCGCCAGCAGCACATCGCTCAAGCCAGTTGAATTCATCTTCGGAGACCGTTCCGTCGAGGTGACATTGCCAATTGGTGAGAGGGGCGAGGAGGATGCGGCTGTTGAGGGGGGGCGCCACGCTTGAATGACAGCGGCAAGAATACATCTTGGCTTGTCGTGATGAACCAAGAGCGCTGAATGCTTCCAATTCTCGAGCAGGGATGTTGAAGGGCACTTTCATTCTGAATTCTGAATGTTCAAGTCCAGCAGACGGTTCTGCTTTATCTCTAGCGTTTAGTTCGTAAGAGTGATTTATGGACGATGGCTTTGTGGCTATTGGGCCTGACCAGTATCTCGACATTGCTAACCCCCAACACTTTCATTTCAACCCATACTAACAAATACATCATGAAGCTTTTTGCTATCAACCACCAAGAGTGAAGTAGTGGATCATCGCAGCCCGTGAAGTCTCCAACAAACCCGCTAAGACCCGCTGTCTCCAACTTCTCCAACCCTCTCCAACTCTTTGGCCAAGTCAAAAACTGACACAGCATTCGGCAGAACTATTCACGCCGGCTACCTTACTACAGAAGCCGATTAGGTATCCGATTGATAATAGCAAAAGTACTTGTCCGGAATATGAATTCCTCTTGACTGTTTTCTCTGCTGGTACCCCGCGCCGAAAAGCCTGCACTCCGGTCACGGTGGCTCAGGCCCGCCTCTTCGGCCGGGCATTGTGAAAAGTCGGAGAAGAGCCGGCATTACTTCATGCAGATTCTAAGCTATTGGGCTTAAGTCTACGTTTCTTGGCCTAAGTCCGCCTTGACTTAGCTTATGGAGCCAGACGCCCTATATCTCCTCCGCGTTCGCTGACAGCGCAAAATCGCACCGGGCTGTCGGCTCTTAGCCTACGTCGCACGGTCGTAACAGGGCTCGCTGACAGAACTCTATCTCAGCTCCAGCTACTGCAAAGCGAGCCTCCAGGCGAACGCCCTTGTCAGGGTCTGCGCGCTAAGTCCAGGAGAAACATATTCGACAGGATGAATGACTATGGTTGATCTGCCTAACGTCAGTTGCAGCCCTTCTCGGGCATTGGTTCGCTTCTGGAAAAGCTCCGCCTGGGAACCTGTCCGCTGCATCTGCCGGCACAATCGCTCAGCGTCAGCACTAGCGGGGGCTGCATCTTCAATTCGCTGAATCGCACTGCCTGCAGTTCTCTCAGGAACTGATGCAACATCCGGGGTGACAACAAAAGCTTCCACCAGAAACTCGATGACAATGTTCCCCATCTTAGACCCTTCCGACAAGAGAAGTTGGCCATCTCGGACTATGCGATATTGGCCAAGCAGGTGCTAATGATCTCAAACGGTTCATCACGTGTTCTTCCCTAGTATGAACCACCTCGTATGCTCAATCGGCCGCCCACCGGAAGGTCTGATGTCACCTCATCTACGCCATGGCGAAGCGAACCGAACTGGCCAGGGTGTTCGACGGCGTAAGAGCCCGGGGCAGAGACGATCTAGACTGGAGCTGCAGACTTTGAGTCGCATCGTCAGTCGTAGTCTGCATTCGCGAGTTCTTGGCAACACCGGATTTCGTGTACGTGAAGCGGGGGGATACCGATGAAGGAAGCTGAGCTTCCTGGACCCGCGTTGTCTAAGACCTGCTTGTTATCGCTGGAGCAAAATGGGCCAGGTACATAATCCGAACATCATCCCCCGCAATGAACGAACATGGCATGTAGTGTTGAGCCAATAATTCGGTTGCCATCATGATCCAGAAGTCGGTTCTTGCTCTCGCCGGCGCTCTGCTCGCTCATAACGTTCTCGCTGGCGAACTTGTTCCCCGTACATGGCAGGGCCAGGAGTACGGCTGCAGATGCTACTTCGGTGATGGTTGCTGGCCCAAGGCAGAAGCCTGGGCACAGCTTAATGCCACTGTGAATGGGAAGTTGGCTGTCCATGTCCCTCCTGAGGCGGCGTGTCACAACACCTTTGAAGGAACCCTCGGCAACATCTCGACATATGACGCCGCTGAGTGTGCTGAAGTGACTGAAAACTGGGACAAGGAGCAGTGGACGTAAGTCAATCCCCAGGCCATCTTCAGACCACACCACAAAGCAGGGCGAGAAACTGACACACGCACTCGCTCACAGGACCGATCAACCCGGCGCCGTTTTATGGAAATACTTCACTAACACAACATGCCTCCCAACCCAAGACCCTACGGAGCCCTGCACCTTGGGATACTACGGCGTCTACGTGGTGACAGCTACCAAGAAGGACCACATCAAAGCCGGCGTCGACTTCGCGCGCGAGAACAACCTCCGTCTCATCATCCGCAACACAGGTCACGACTTCATCGGTCGCAGTGTCGGCTGGGGCTCCCTCATCGTCAACACCCACAGCTTCCAGGACATCACGTTCAGCGACACTTGGGCCGGTCCCGGGAACTACACGGGCGGAACCGTCACCGTCGGCGCCGGCGTGCAAGGCCGCGCCCTCCTCCGCGCAGCCAACGCCCAAGACCCGCCCATCCTCGTCGTCACGGGCGAGTGCCCGACCGTCGGCGTTGCGGGCGGTCTCGTTCAGGGCGGCGGGCATGGTCCGTTGACGCCACTCCATGGCATGGCCGCCGACAACGCACTCGAGTTCGAGGCAATCACTGCCGACGGAGAGTACGTCGTCGCCAACGCTGACGAGAACCCCGACCTGTTCTTCGGGCTCAAGGGGGGCGGCCCCTCGTCGTACGCCGTCGTCACATCCGTCACCTTCCGCACGTACGCGGAAGAGAAGGCGGCTGGGGGCGTGTTGTACATCAACAGCACGCTGACGGAGGACGAAGACGTGTTCTGGGAGGGTGTGCGGGTGTTCCATAAGTGGTCGAACCACCTCGTCGACAACGGGCTGTACGTCTACTTTGAACTCGGTACGATGATGCTCGAGGTGCAGCCGTTCGTGGCTGTGGGTAAGACGCAGAGCGAACTGGACAAGATTCTTGAGCCGATGATTGCGGAGCTCAAGGCCAGCAATGTGTCGTTTGAGCATTCTACCAAGGAATTCGGGACATTCTTCGACCTGTACATCGATCTCTTTCTAGACGAGGAAGCAGGCAGACACACGTTGACTGGCGGATGGCTGTTCGCTCACTCCGATGTCGAGAAGCGGAACAATCAGATTGTCGACGCTTTCAAGACGGTGATCAATCCGAGGGAGGACTTGAAGGGCTTGGGGCACATCGTGGGACACTTGTTTAACGCGGGACACAGCTGGCCCGAAGCCAACAGCGCGACGCACCCGGTTTGGAGGAACGGCACCGACCTTGTCATCAGCGTTCTTTTTGTGTCAGTGGGTGCGACTCTGGAGCAGAAGGCGGACTTACAGGATGTTTTGACGAATATCCAAGACGAGGCCTTGCGGCGGGCCGGACCTGATGGTGCCACATACGTGAATGAGGTGAGTGGTGCCTGAACGAACCTTGCGAAGAGCACAAGAACTAACCTTCTTCACACAGGCTGACCCTTATCAAGCTAATTGGCAAGAACATTTCTGGGGTCCGCTGTACCCTACCCTGTTTGACCTGCGCAAGAAGTGGGATCCAGAGGGTGTTTTCTACGCCGTCTCGACGCCTGGGACGGAGGGCTGGGAGGAGATCGAGTATGGCACGAGACTGTGCAAAAGGCTCTGATGAGCGAAACCAATGATGTATATATGCGTCTATCGTCAATGATATGAGTTGAGTCTAGCCGCATTCCGTCATCGTTGATTCACTTGCTTTCCTGGCTCAGGATACGTGGGAA